GTATTTTTGCCACGTATAAAATTAAATTCTTGATTGGAACATAATATCTAATCATTGTTAGAAGTAGTATGGATCAGAATTCCACAATATATTTATCTTTTCATATATAAGATTTTGTATTAATAACTTCTCTAATGTCTAAACAGGCAGTCGAAGCATGGACATCGACGAAAGGAAAAACCGAACAAAATGTGATATGAACTGGCAATGGAATTGAATATCTTTAGAAAATAACACATCGATGTTTGAAAAGGTTAACCCTCATATATTTATAGATATGTTTGTTCTCCAGTGTTACTTTATACATGATTCTCATTGATATATATATATATATATATGATATATCATAATATTATAACGGTTGTTTCCAACAGACAAAATGAGATTTTTTTCCTTTTTGACAAAGAGTTTGATAAAATGAGGTTGATATTCATATATCTATGAATCTTTTTTATACGAACTAATACAAATTCATACGAGAGTCAAAAAATGAATTAAAGATAACGTGTTAGTACAATGAAAACCAAAAGCATATTCATAATGATGTTACGTAGATCATAGATACACACGATGCATACGTATATATATATATATATATATATGTGTGTGTGTGTACTTATGTATACATACGTACATTACATGCATACATAATGCAAGTTAGTGACATGATATTCATAAGGCCATGAAAGAGGGGACAATTTTCGCGATGGTTCATGAGGTGGCACCACGTTTCGCCACGTTTTGTGCTTATTCTTCAAAGGAAACCATATGATTAAATTGAATTTCATTTATATATACTGAGGGGTTACTTCAAACAAGATTCAACAATAATAATTCAAAACAAGGGTAAGAAAATGACACAGTTGATATCAGGATGTGTGACGGACGAGTCACGAGACAAGCTTAATCTAAGACTTTATGTCAATTTCTCATATTATTGTTACAAATATACAAAATAATTGGAAAGAGAGAATACAGACGAAATTTGTAAAATTAACATCAAAAGATTCGGAATGACATAACTTAGAAACGTGGGAAATTGTTATCTACAAGTTATAAGCATCTTATATTCTCGATTGTGATTGGCATACATATATCAATCAATCTTTTAATGCATTGAACCCTATCCTTATACTTTTATATCTGTTACTAGTTTCCATTTTATGTTCTTGCAAGAGATATTATAATTACTTATCGGTTTCATGATTGCATGGTTTTTTTGACGAATGAAAAAATTACGATAGAAATTATATATGTGGAGAGAGAGAGAAGGAGAATGATATGTTAGAACTTAATCACATATACGGAATAGTTTCACCAATATTTTTTTAAATAACGTTTTTCAAAAAAAGGAAAATCAACTATATAGTAGAATTGTGTGAATAATACTAGTATATAACTAATTTATAATAATTTTATGTATACTTTATCTCATTTTCATAATAAAGTGAGACAGGTATTCTAAAATCACCAAACGGTATCTTCTTTTTTTTTCTCTCAATGGAAAGCCACTTTTCCATGTTATTATCTCCTTTTTTTCTTTTTCCAAAAGATGTACATATTCATTATTTAGCCTGTCAGATCAATATGAAAAGAAGAAAAAAGTTAGAAATAGAAAACATTTTGTCTATAATATTACTTGACTATATATTACATATATACATTGTTACATGAACTACAACACTACATGCATGTCCATCTTAACATTTATACTCCAATTTGTTTCTACATGTTTATATATAGTTGAACTGGAAAATACTAACAATTTGTTTCTACATGTTAATATAATATCCACTAGCCAATGTGATATTAACAACAAAAAAGATATAAAAATCATTTTTTTATGGTTACAATATTATATCTCCTATGAACGAAATAGTCTGAATTTCGTTGCAAATTCTCTGAACTTGGAAAAATTAGCAATAATTAACAACAATGTTGCGAGTTCCCGAATCCTTATATATATGATGATTAAGGCGGGGTATTCAAAACATTTGTATGTTCCAGAGCTTGGATTCGAATCAGCTGCTACTGACTTACTGTTATGTTAAGAAAATCTGGTTTTATACAAAAATCAGTTAGTTGTTAAAAGAAAAAAAAAATACAAGAATCAGAAGAAATTTATGATGACCTCTCAACCGATAAAAAAAATGGGCCAAGGTATATGACAAAAAGAAGTTACAACCTTTTTCCTTTTGACATTTAGAGGTTCTCTCTTTAGTTTCCTTCCCACTTTCTCTTTTAACAGAAAATTCCACTGTATCAAGATGCCCCATATATAATATTATACATATATCACTATGCACATATCATATAAGTATGTATGTATATATCAATCATTAGTAGATTAATGCTGATTATGTATAATAGACGAGCAACTTGGAATGCTTCTACCTCCGACACCTGGATAACGTGCGTCAATCTAATTCACAAAAATAAATATGTGTTAGTAATCATATAAGTTTCATTTCATATGTTTGTATATAATATACTGGCAAATACATAAATAATACAAGCATTTTCAACAATACTAGCTTTCTAGTTTCTTATTTCAAAACTATAACAATTCCTCTTTAACAGATTAAAATTTCGTTCTAATGATTTTAGAAACCTTCTTTAGAATCTAATCTCTATTTTTGAAGGATCTAAACGTATAAAATCTTTAAATGATTCATCGTACACGTAACACGGGGAAACAAGAGTGTAGAGAAGTTTCTTATAAGTATATACATATATATATATATTATACTGTATATATAGAGAGAGGAAACAGTGTTGATAAAAGAGGGGCAGTTTGATTGGGGGAGGTTGAAGAAGCGTGTGACCGAGAACTTTGAGCTTATGATTAATTAAAAAATTTATTTTATTTTATTTTTGCCGCCGCAATGCTATTGGACTCATTCATAGTTTCCTTTACGATAGCAATGAAAAAACTAAAACAATAAATAATATTGGTGGTCAGTTTTGATTTCAGGTTTTCCATCATCATCTTTTTTCTGTTCTTAATAGGATATATAATACACGGTGCAATTATTTGGCTAAAATGAAAGAATTAGAAAAAAAAAAACGTTCTGCATATACATACCTACAGTATTGTACTGTGTACGACTGTATTCTGGTAATATCTTGATTTATATAGAGTTTGCATTTAGTTAACTGTTTGTATTAATTTTGTAGGTCATCAAGCCAAACTTGGTTATAAATAGAACACCTTCACTAATCACTAAGAAAATAAAACTTTCGTACGTGTTTCGTTTCTATATTTTATCATATTGATTACTTCAAGAAGAAACTCTTCTTACTATTAAATTTGTATGACAGTTGCATCTCAATAATTAGCTTATGTTTGTCTAGTGTTCCAACTATAAAAATATTACAAACAAATAAAGAGAGTGATGAGACTGCGTGGATGTCTAAAGTCCATGCATTGATTTGCCTAAGCAACTTAAAACACTAGAGCTAGCCCTAGCTATAAGATTATACACGCCCACTCTATCAATAATGTACACATTACTTATGTCTTTATGTATATTTGTGTGTTTCCTTTGCCTAAGCCTATAGCATTTGAAAGCTATAGACCAACCGAAGAGAAGTAAAGGAGAAGAAGAAATCTAATAAAGTTTTAAAAGAAGAAAAAAAAATGAAAAAAGTGAGGCATCACTTCTTAAATCTTATTTTCGCTTTCGAACTTCAACCTCATGGGGCCACTAAAGAATCTTTTGCTGTTTTCATTTTTTTTTTTGTTCTAAACATCTTAATTGAGAAACTTACTCAATCTCTCGTGGTCCGGGTTACTTTTATCAATTTGTACAATGAATTGATATTTTTTCCGTGTTTTGTGTATAAGCCTTTACAATCAATCGAACCAATACCAACACCTTTTCAGTTCACTTTCTTCCGACACTAACCTTATTTCGATTCGTTCCCATAAGATTTGAGTCACTAGAAAATATAAAAGTACAAAAACACCTTTCTTTTTGAACCAAACAAAAAAAAAACAGTAGGAAAATAAGTCTAACTAACAAAAAATCAACATAAATAATTAGCTTAACTACCAACAGAATGACTCACGAATCTTAACAACACAAGGAAACACAATAAACTAAACACAATAATAACTTTATTACACGATTATGACATAAACGTGTCCGGATCCATCAGAAATCCCCCACACACACAAAAAAGGCAGAAGAGATTAAAAAATTGGCGACTAAGTGTTACTAAACTAGGTTATCTTATACGACGATCAAGGAGAAAAAATGAGTCAAAGATCTTGAAAACTAAGCATATTCCTTTGCTAAGACTAATAAAGATACCATTTCGAAAAGATTGTCCACCAAAAAGGTAAAATAATGAAGAGTAATTTAGAAGCTTCATTCACTGAAAAGAAAACTCTTAATCTAGAGGTTTCGGATTATTTGACTACGTGGACTCACTAGACCTACCATTGACGCATCTTCATGACTTCACCACTGACCAATAATAATAACCTTTTCAAGACGCATTGATGTGTGCCGCAGCAGAAAGGATATATCACCTACACACTTCGAAAATGTTCCACGTCGCAAAGTGGGCCTAACAAAAGTGGATCAGGCCCAATGGCTTCAAACATCGCTTCTTTGATAAGGACAAGACAACATAGGATGAGGAACATAAACATTAATTACGTAAACCCCAAGATTAGCATTTATGATTGGTATAAGTGTCCGAAACGTTAATTCTCGAAAGCTACTCTCTAGTCAATGTAGTATAAAGTTCTTGACTGGAAAATAGTGGGCTAAGTTTTTTTGACCTTTTCCGCTAACAAGAAAAACAGAGGCATAATTTGAAAAAAACGTTTATGAATTTTCAATAGAAAAGAAAAGCCTACATCTCCTTCGTTCCATGTATGTGTATCTAAGGCATCTATCTGTACAGCAAGATCACATTGCATGGTCCAATTAATTTGACAAAAATGACGAGACACATAACATCTCTACTCTGTGACAAAAGCCTCAGTTTTAGTCTTTGTACTCTGGTTTGAGGACCCAAGACGAACGGTTTTGGTCCTTCCGAAGCGTGGCAATCTCCTTCAAGAGACTCTTAAACAACGCCGAGTCCTTATCTGGAACTTTGTCCATGAAATGGTTGACAATGCTGGTCGTGTCTGCGCTTCCGCCTCTTTTCTGTATAAAGCTGCATAACTGTCGGATCAGGACCTCGGGCTGCAACGAACTGCTTGAACCTGATGAAGACGGGAGTGGAGACTGTATCTGTTCATGGCCAACACCAATGGCTTGTTCTCTGCTTCCGCGGATTCTGTTGAGAAGCTCTGCGGAAGACGGTGCTTTGCCAGAAGATAGACCGGCACTGATACCGTTCTTGATCGCTGATGACTTGTCTGATGTGGTCTGTGTTAACCGGGAATTTACAGTTGATCCGAATTTCCTCCGTAGAGATGACGGTGCACCTGCGCAGCCAGATCTTCCCGTCCATGTAGGCACTGAGATGCTTTCGCGGCTACGCAGCATCCGTGATTGGCGCAATGCTTCCGCAGCTCTCTGTGCCACTTGAGTTGCCTGGTGTTCAAGTCTCATCTTCTCTTCCTCGTCGTGTGCATTCATGATGGCGTCGTGATTCACAGCACTCTGTAAAAGATGCAAGTAGAGTCAAGCGAATTGGATATTATAGGCAAAAGTAACTCGGTGAAGAAGCTTTCATAAGCAGAAACGAGCTTACATGTATTCCATGGGCGTCGAAGAGACTCTTTAAGATATTTGTCTCTTCATTTCTGCCATCGGCTGTCTCCGCATCTTTTCCACCTGAGAATTCATTTGTGCCCTCATCTGATTCGGGATGTCTCTCTGTTTGAGCTCCTATGATGTTTATCTCTTCAGTCAGCTGACTGAAGATGTTAGAGGTTTCGGTGGATGCATTGCTGTCGCCATCATCTCTCAGGATGAAAAGATCTTTCATATCCCGAGCTTTGAAGAATCTTTTCTGCTGTGGATTCTTCAGGATCCTATTAGTGAGAAAATGTTTATATATCTGTCTATGATATACCTTCTCCTCAATTGTCCCTCGTGTGATCAATCTGTAAACAGTAACATCCTTCTTCTGCCCTATACGCCAAGCACGTTCCCTTGCCTGTCAGAACAAAAAAAGAATATTGATTGTTATATAAACCCATGACTGGTTTTGGAAACTGAATTCAAAGCAATACTTACCTGCATATCATTTGAGGGGTTCCAATCAGGGTCAAAGATGATGACCCTATTAGCGCCAGTCAGATTCGTTCCCAAACCACCAACCTTCGTCGTCAGAACAAAGACAAACACATCATCCGAGTTATTAAACTCATCAATCAAAGCCATTCTCTGTTTTACAGGTGTAAGGCCATCCATCCTCCGGTAACTATACTCATTTGCAACCAAGAAGCTCTCGAGGATGTCAAGCATTTGCTGAGTCTGTGAAAACAGAAGTACACGGTGTCCTTGCTGCTTCCAGACCTTGAGCACTTCTGCAACAACCTTCATCTTCCCACTACGTTCTGGGTTCCCATAATCTGGGTTTTGGTGAGAATGTTCTCTCTCAAGTAGATCAGGGTGGTTGCATATCTTCCGCATCACATCAATCCCGTAAAGAGAATTCTTGTTGCCATCAAAAATATCTTCTACCTCGGAACTCGCAAGGAACGCCCTGTAGGTAGATCGCTGCTCCACAGTCAGGCTGCAGAAGAGAACGTGTTCAGTCTTTTTTGTAAGATGTGCGTTCACGTCGGCCTTCATGCGGCGGAGGAGGTAAGGCATGATCAAATCACGAAGAACAACTGCACACCTGTACATTGTCAAAGAACTGTTAGAACACAAACTATGACGAGTTACCTAAGTGATTCAAAGAGAGACTAGGTAATCACCTATAGGCAGTTGACACTTGTAACGGAGACGCATTGGCGTAGCCACCAACAGTTATGGGAACAGAAAACTCTGCCTCAAACACAGGCAGGACCCCCAGTTTTCCAGGGAAGACAAAATCAAACAATGACCAGAGTTCTGTCAGTTTATTCTGGATTGGTGCCCCGGTCATAATAATTCGATGGATGGTCTGTAACTGTTTGCACACCAAAGTAATTACAGCATTTGGATTCCGGATCCGATGGCCTTCGTCCAGCACTGCATAACCCCACTCAATGTTGAGCAGCTTCTCACCATGCAGCCGCAATTGCTCATATGTGGTGATGAGGAGCCCTGAATCAGAATTTAGAACCCGCTTTATCACAGAATTCCATTTCTTGGTGTTCTTAGACTTTTGCTCATGATCACTCTCGACTGAACCTTCACTGTCATAATCGCTTTCAGAGGCCTTGACTCGTCCTTTGCCATACCCAGAATCTTGTGCCGAGTCATGGAGTATTTCCACGTGAAAATCCGGGTACCACTTCCGTGCCTCTCTTCTCCACTGACGCAAGAGTGTGACAGGACATATGACAATACTCGGTTTGTACATCTTACTGAAATGCAATGATCCGAGAAAAGATAAGACTTGCACAGTCTTACCAAGACCCATCTCGTCCCCGATAATGCCACCAGCCTTTTGACAATGGAGTTCCCAGAGCCATTGCACCCCAACTCTTTGGTAATCAAAAAGTTTACTAAATATGCTTTCAGGAATCTTTAATCCACCTTCCAGCTGTACAGAAGATGTCTCGTTGTCGTCCGTGTCATCAACATCATCTAGCTCTTCTTCCTCACAACTGGAAGTGTTCAAGTTTCTCAGTCCAGATTCTGAAACACCGCAATGAAAAATCAGCATGATAACTTTGTACTTTACATAAACTCAAGGATAAAGAAGAAGCATATGATCAAATAATGGTAGAAACTAGACGTCAGAAGATCCAATATCACAGCCTTATCTATCCTAATAGCATTCGCTCAAATTACTAGCCATTAATTCACCGGTTCCAACATCAATCTGAAAATGTAACAAAAGCATAAATCATACCACTTTCTTGAAGAGTAGAGTCTTCGTGAGAAATCCGCTTTGTCCATTTCCTCTCAGGCAAAGGCCGCTTCTTTTTGCTCTTCTTAGCTTTACTTTTCTTTCCTTCATTATCCGGAGAATCCGGAGTCTGGTAAATCTTTCTTAACCTTCTAAAAGGGACAGGGGTCGCTTCAAGCTTTGGCAAGTCCTCTGCATCAAGTAGCTTAGTTGTCGGGCGAGCTTTTGCAGCCAGCGACATCGACTGGACGGCTCTATCAATACTGTCGGAGTCGTCATTTTTGTCATTTTCGTCTTCTCCTTCACCTATGTTGCCCGAGTTTGACGGTCCAGGCTGTTGAAGTCGGCGTTCAAATCCCTTGAGCTTGTGAAAAGGAGTTAAAATTCCTTTTCTCACCAATTCATCTCTTTCCTAATCAGGAATAGCCAGCCTTTCAATTAGTCATTGTCTTTCATATCTAGGTTTTGTCCGTTCGCATACACATTTCCCACATCCACATATTAAGAATATGATCTCAGAGTAATCAGGTGAAACAGATCAAACCTTTAGAAGACAGGTGGACGTACCGTTTCAACAAAACCAGCGGAAGCTGCATCGAAAACAGCATCAAAATCTTTGTCCTCGTGAAACGAAACTGCTTTCACCTTTTTTCCTTCTCTTTTGCTTGTTTTCCCAGTCTCTTTAAATTTCCTCTTGAGACTAGGCTCTTCCTTCACCAGATCTCGCAGTAGATTATTGCCATCAGCACTATCAGCAGCATTTTGACCAAGTAAACCAGTGAGTTCCTTTTCAAGTTCAGTTTTTCTCTTCCTAAGGCTTCTTAGACGGTCTTTGGCAAGGGCGTGCTGAAGTACAGAACCACTATGCAACACCTCTGATTCATCATCTTTCTGTAAGCCATTTTCTTCTGCAACCTCATCAACTTGCTCAAGAGTTGATGCAACAGCATCTATTTCAAACTTTACAGCTCTCAATTTATTCAAAAGCTCGATCTGGCTGGACGAAAGCGGATTGTTTCCCTCCGCCTCTATAGACCCCTCCTCCACATTCCCATCATCATCGTTATCTATTTTCTTCGTCGCCTAACAAAGAATGTGCTTGAGATGTGAGACATTAATGTATTGTGGATAGACTCAAGTTTCATAAATTCAATAGATCATCGGAAAAGTACTCGGAGATAATCTAAAACCCTTTCATACAATCAACAATGCAGCACCTAATAGAGAAACGAATAAGGAGTATTACCTCATCGAGTATCGTCTGTTCGATATCTGCAGGATTCGCCGATGTAACTCCTAAGCTACTCAACAAAATCCTATCCTCTTCTTCCTCCATTGAATCACGTTCTCAACTATAATCCTATATTATCACGAAAAGCGGAGCATCACCGTCGCATTTGCATTCACCGGAGCTTCCTCCTCCAAAAACCGGCTTTTAACAGCAATAGCTGAAACAAACTGAATTCATACAGTCGCTAAATCAGCCTTCTTTCGCGCACATGTATAAGGAAAAGAGTGAATCTCACAAAATCCATGAAAACTCGAGTATACAATTCCCAGAAATTCTCAACACTAACCTCGAGGCCGTGAAATTCGACAAAGTCAGAAACACGCAAAACCCAAATCCCCTCTAAAATCGTAAGAATTATTAGGATTGGATCGAATTTTGTTCTTCGTCTGTAATAATCTGAATTCGGAATCCTTGTCGTCGGTCAGAGATTGTGGCTGCGGTACAAAAGTCGATCGTCGTGAAGCAACTTTTTCGCCGCTTCCGGTTTTCCCCGGTCCCGCGATAAACTGTTAATAAGCAATCTGGCTTCCTCACCAAGCGATAGCCCATCCAGGCCCATTAAGGCAGAAACCGTCATTAAGGCGCTAAAGTTTGGCGGCTTTTTTGAAAATATCGGGCCAGACCCAATAAAAGTTGAGCCCATTTAACTTTATGGCCCATCTCTTTTTCTCTCTCTCTCTCCACATCGACAAATGCGACATGTTTACTGGGTCAATTTTTGGTTCCAGAAATCGATTCGTCACCTTTGATTTGGGAATGTGACAAATCAATCTGGGGATGTAGTTTTGTCGATTTTCTATGACTTCCTGTCTGATTTGATTTGTTTCCGGCGATTCAAGTCTTCTTCCACGTCTCAAGTCACGACGGCATTGGATGGTTTCTTTCGCTCACGCAGGCGAGAGAGAAAGAGAAAGAGAGAGGGAAAGGCGTTTATTTGGTTGACTTGTTTTTCGATCTCAGATGGCGATTATCCAGCACTTGTTTCTCAATTAGGGGAATAGAGCTGGTGGTTCTTACAGAATTTGTGAAAGCTTATTTAGGGTTCTTGAATGGACTTGAAAATGGATAATGTTATTGGTGGCCGGTTTAAGCTTGGTCGGAAGATCGGCGGTGGCTCTTTCGGAGAGCTTTTTCTAGGTAATTGTTTTCTTCTTATTAATCAATCATTTCTTTGTGATCCGTTGCAACCTTCATCTGAGTTTGTTTTCAATTTGTGGATTACTTTTTTCTTTCCAATTCAAAACTGTTTTTGAAAATATTTTCAGGCGTAAGTGTGCAAACGGGAGAAGAAGTCGCCGTTAAGCTGGTATTATTCAAATCCGCCTTCTCTTTCTCATCAGTCTGTGTAAATAACATTTGATTTAAGATCTCGTTTCCGAGTTTCATACTTTAACGTTCATAAACAAATCTATTTATTCTTCATCTTAATGATCTTCTTGTTCCACTTTCTTTTTCTGTGATTCATTCTTAGTTTGAGGGCAAGTGTTCAAACTTGAATTCTTTTTACAAAACAAATAAAGCAACTTTTTCTGGAAACTGAAATAATATTTGTTACTAGAAATAGCTTTAGTGGAATTGTTGTTCAATCTTTTGGCTTCATTCTTCTTTGAGTTTCATTTCCATATTTAACTTATGTTTTGGCATTCAAGTGTGAGTACTTTCTTACTGGGGTAAATTATATCTAACTTTCTGTAAAACTTTGTAGGAGCCTGCGAAAACGAAGCATCCCCAACTTCATTATGAATCGAAGATATACATGCTTCTACAAGGAGGAAGTAAGTTTAACACTGTTCAAAATCTGTAGCTACTATCATTGTGCAATTTGATATCGCATTTCTCGGAATTTATTTGTATTTTTTTGTGTGGGTGAAGCTGGCATCCCCAGCCTCAAGTGGTTTGGGGTTCAAGGAGACTACAATGCGATGGTTATTGATCTGCTCGGTCCAAGTTTGGAAGATTTGTTCAACTATTGTAATAGAAAGCTCACTTTGAAGGCAGTTTTGATGCTTGCAGATCAACTGGTGAGCTTTCTCAAGCGTCGCTTTCCCTTTTGTTGAGGGAGAAGAAATTATATTTAACCCTTGAATGTTTCGTTGGTCATTGTAGATTAGCAGAGTTGAATATATGCATTCAAGGGGATTTCTTCACCGCGACATAAAACCAGACAACTTCTTGATGGGACTTGGTCGCAAAGCAAACCAGGTGCTTTTTTTTGTATACCTTCTGTTTTGTTATGCACTAACCAATGATTCCTATAGAGAAAATTTTGTTTCCGCTTGTGTTTAAAAACACTTACGAAACATAATTTCGTAGCTGAAGTCGTATAGATGCTGAAGTTATGTCGTGAATAATATGTATGCAGGTGTATATCATTGATTTTGGCCTTGCAAAGAAGTATAGGGATCTCCAAACACATAGGCACATCCCTTACAGGTGAATTTATGGAGCTTTCATGTGCATATATATGTATACTTCTTTCCATTTGCTAGACACTCATATTGTTTCCATTACAGAGAAAACAAGAACCTTACGGGCACAGCTCGGTATGCTAGTGTCAACACTCACCTTGGAGTTGGTAAGCAATTCATAGAACCACTTGATATCTGCTCCACAAGGTTTTGTATACAATTTTTAAAAACGTGTTCCTGTTTGCATATTTGTCGGCAGAACAAAGTCGGAGGGATGATCTGGAGTCTCTTGGTTACGTGCTCATGTATTTCCTCAGAGGAAGGTTGTTCATACAGATCCTTCTTTGATTGATTGAAATCTTTCCACGTGCTTGTTCTGGTCTGATCCTCCTGAGATTTTCTTTGTTTTAGCCTCCCGTGGCAGGGACTAAAAGCTGGCACAAAGAAGCAGAAGTATGACAGAATTAGCGAGAAGAAAGTTTCAACTCCTATAGAGGTACCCTTGGTTGGAGTTAGATCAGCAATATCATTGTCACATAAACCACAAGTTTAACTGTTTCAACTATGCTTGTAACAGGTCTTGTGCAAGTCATGTCCACCCGAATTCGTATCATACTTTCAATACTGCAGGTCTCTGCGGTTCGAAGACAAACCAGACTATTCCTACTTAAAGAGGCTATTCCGAGACTTATTCATCCGTGAAGGTTATCAGTTTGACTATGTATTTGACTGGACCGCATTGAAACACCCTCAGAGTAGTTCCACCTCCCGTTCCAGCTCCCACGGAAGGGTTAGTGCACTTCTCTTCTCATCATAGTCTAGTGTCTATACTCATTTTTTTATTCCCTCTATTACTCTCTCTTCTTCAGCATCGTATTGGTAACCCGGGGATGGCTGCTGGACCGTCTGCTGAAAAACCTGAAAGGATATCAGGTAATCCTAATACACTTTCTCCATAGTTTAAGAAAGCACATAACTATACACTCATATGGTTTCATAAAACCTGACTATGCTATTCATAACAGTTGGGAGGGAGATCCGCGACAGATTCTCAGGTGCGGTGGAAGCATTCGCGAGAAGGAACGCTACCGGAGCCAGCCCCAATCAAAACCATACCAGACAACGAACTCTTGACGATGTCCCTTCACCAATGAAACCTGTGGTGGTAAACATTTATATAATCTTTAAGTATGAAATGATTAAACACATTTTCAAGAATCAGTCTCATTCTTGATATGGTTTGTGTATTTGGTTCAGAATATGGTATCTGAGAAAGGAAGGAGCACTTCCAGATACGGCAGTGCTTCAAGGAGAGCAGTAGCCTCGGGAAGTAGACCGAGCTCATCAGGTGAACAAGGGGATAGCCGAGGCTCGAGCCGTGTGACGTCAAACGGTGGCGGAGGAGGAAACCGACCATCCGTCTTTCAGAGAACACAAGCGGCAGCTGCAATGAGCGGGTACGACTCGAAGACGGCCTCTGCCTTTAACCGCAACCGAGTGGCCGCTTCTAGGACGGCACGTGACGAGGCTTTCAGAAGCTTCGAGCTTCTTTCCATCCGCAAATGAAAAAAAAACAAGAACAAACAAAATATGAAAAAGCTTTTGATGAGTTCTTTTCTGTAAATTGGATTCTTCTTTACATAATACTGTGTTGTTTGGTTTGGTCCATCTGTTTCCACGACAACTCACAATTTTTCATGTATTATTATGTTCTCTGAATTTTTTGTATCAAGTTTTACTCACTTATTTTGTTTGTAATCATTCACGACAATTTCTTGCGCTTAATTCTGCATATCCACTTCGTTTTTCAGTTTCGTTTGTTTGGATTTTTTCAAAGTTCAGACAAAAAGTTAACACTTATCTTACCACGTGGTTCAGACTTTTCCAATGCTGATCGTCTTCCTTTTGCTCTTTCTGGTTATGCCTTTGCTTTGATGTGTATACGGGGTTGAAACACCTCTTTCTTTCCATTTGCTAAGCTCTCCTGATGTAACTCTAAATGTCGCTTCAAATGGCAAAGAAATAAAGAAGGATCGTTTAAAAAAAAAAAAAAAAGTTAAGACTTTACGACTATGGAAGACAGAAAAAAGGAGTAAAAAATAATATTATCTTTGCTGTGGTTGGTCACTTGGCCTTTAGATTAAGCCGACGTCGTTTTCAAGTGTACTAAGTACTACAACGCGTATTCGAACAATCGTCGTCGTTTGAAACCGTCAAGTTAAACGGCAGGTCACGACGGTGATCGTGTCGTGACTCAGGGCCGTCTTCCTCGCTCCAACATTGTTTGATTTTAAAAGTTCCCTCTTTCCTTGAATATCGATTGACCAATACAGAAAACGAAGCACGAAGATCGAGTTACCATCTACTTGATGATTTTTGAAATCCGATAAAGGTACAGAATTTTCGTTTTTAATAACCGACTGCTTTAAAAGGTTATGTTTTTGCTGGAAATGGGAAAAATGCTTAGATTGTAATATCCAGAGCCTTAATGATTTCCTTTGATTGGAATTTTTAACTTTTGTTTGTTATTTGTGAGAAACTTTGACTTTTAGCTGGAGATTTTGTAGGGTCAATTTTGATCGTGTTATATGTTTGATGATTTTCAGACAGGAATGATAGTCTATTACAAAGTTTTGCTTTGAATCTGGATTGACCTTAAAGAAGAAGAAAAAGTAGTGGAAAGAGATAGAAGAAGCTTTGGATGATTTGTTGTGGATTTATGTGGAAATCCGGAGGAGAAGATTTGCAAGGTTTCTATCCAGTGAGATCAGAATGTCAAGCAGATGTTCCAAGAACACGATTTAAATCAAGGGTTTGTCTTTTGTTTTTTTATCCTATCACCATCCATGTTCTTGATTCAATCATTTCATACGGAGTGTATTGAAAGTTTAGAGCTTTATATCAGGCGGGCAAAACTCTAAGTGCTAGAAGATGGCATGCTGCGTTCACTGAAGATGGACATTTGGATATGGAAAGAGTTCTTCGGCGTATACAACGAGGAGTGAGTCTATTTCTTTATCTTCTTCTCTGTTTGGTCTATGGCCTTGTTGTTCACTTGGATGCTTTTTCCAGGGGATTCATCCTTCAATCAAAGGAGAAGTTTGGGAGTTTTTGTTAGGAGGTTACGATCCAGACAGTACGTTTGAAGAAAGGAGTAGACTGAGGAATCACAGAAGGTACTATTGTCTTCTCTAATCTGTTGTAGTTTGGTAGATTTTGTGGCTAACCTCAATGCACTTTTTATCTAAGGGAGCAGTACTATGCTTGGAAAGAAGAATGTAGGCAAATGGTTCCTCTTGTTGGTAGTGGAAAGTTTGTCACAATGGCTGTTGTTCAAGAAAGTGGGGAGCCGTTAGAAGAATCTTCAGTAGAAAACCAAGGATGGCTTGTGAAAGATGCTGTAACAGACAAGCGTGTGCTTCAGTGGATGCTTGTGTTGAGTCAAATCGGTAATTTTCTAATTTACTCAATACATAAAGCATATACTCCTTAGGATTCTCTTTAAGCATGTAATAATATGGTGAAATGTTTGTTGCAGGTCTTGATGTTGTGAGAACGGATCGGTATCTCTGCTTTTATGAGAGTGAGAGTAATCAAGCTAGACTATGGGATGTTCTTGCCATATATACATGGTTAAATCCTGATATTGGCTATGTTCAAGGTAAGTCCATACTGGTGTTAATGATGAGTGTACAGGAAAACATAGAGAAGAGAAGGGGGATTAACCATCCACTTTGTGTAGGAATGAATGATATATGTTCACCGATGATAATCCTACTCGAAGATGAAGCTGGCGCTTTCTGGTGCTTTGAGCGTGCGATGCGAAGACTAGTAAGCATCTAAGACTTTTTCCATCTAGTTTTGTGTCACCCTGAGATTTGTTGTTTTCATGGCTTTATAGTTTCCTTGAATTTCAGAGAGAAAATTTCAGGACGACGGCGACATCAATGGGAGTGCAGACTCAGCTAGGTATGCTCTCACAGGTCATTAAAACCGTTGATCCTCGGCTCCATCAACATCTTGGTAATACTTCTTCCTTTTGCCTTCCATTGAGCTTCGTTTTCTCTGCACTTCTCAGTGTAAGTTAAGATGTTATACTTCTTTTTTTCCATGTACAGAGGATCTCGACGGTGGAGAGTATCTGTTTGCTATACGGATGTTGATGGTTTTGTTCAGAAGAGAGTTCTCTTTCCTTGATGCCTTGTACCTTTGGGAGGTAACAAGACTCTGTTTTGGTTACTTGCAAAACTCGCATGTGATATTGATGTCTTAAGCTGGTTAGTCTCTTGATCTGAGCTGATAAAAGATTTTGGTTTTATTCAGCTGATGTGGGCAATGGAGTATAATCCAAATTTGTTTGCATCGTATGAACAACCAGAGAACAGAAGCAACATGTCGGAGCACGATCCGAGGTTATTGAAGAAGTATGGAAAGTTTGAGAGGAAATATGTAAAGAGTGGACATAACGAGCAACACAACACGCTCGCTGTGTTCGTTGTAGCAAGTGTTCTTGAAACAAAGAACAAACGTCTCTTGAAAGAAGCTAAAGGCCTAGACGACGTCGTTCAGGTCTCTCTCTAGTCTCTATGCAAAACAAACTTCAACTCTTTTCTTGTGTTTTATGGCGAATTCAGCTTTTTGTTTATTCGGTTTTGGTTGCAGATATTGGGCGATATTGCAGGTAATTTGGACGCGAGGAAAGCGTGTAAAGAAGCGTTGAAGATTCATGAGAAGTTCCTGAGAAAGGTGACTACTTTTTCTGTTCATTTACTTCTTCCTCTCTGTAATTACTGATGGATATGTCATATGTTGAATGTTCTTGCAGGCTAATAGGCAATAGACATTGCTAAACCTTTAACCATCCATTTCTTCGGTTTTGTTAGACCGCTTTCAGTCTCAAAAATTGGTCAACCGGTGGCCGCCGATAAATCAAGTGAAGATTGTTGGAGGGATGGATGAGAATGATCTGATTCTTTTGATTCTTTCGTTTCTGTAACTTTTTGTTCTTGTGCATTTGAGTTTCCCGGTTGTATCTTGTAAGAAGCCGTTTGTTGATATGATGTGTGCTAAAGAAATTAAACCGTGTGCCGTTTCTCGTTTTAAAGAAGGAACTTCGTGATGTTTTTCATGTGTCCTTATTGATTATTCCATGGAAAATGTTGAAAATGTTTGGCCCATTTTTAGTATTCCATGGAAAATGTTGAAGTCTAATAATTCGAGTAACATTTTATCATATTTGTTACGTTTTTAGTTATATAAATGTTCAAACATTCTACAATCATATAAAGTTCGAAGATATATAAAATCAAGTCATACTATTACTAATCAAGTACTAGACAATTTTTAATTACAAAGAATGCGAAATACGATGACTATGTATGTTCCTTTAATTTGAACCAAACCAAAAAATACATTGTAACGAAATCAATCTCCTCCCTTCTTTTTCTTTCCCTTTTTTGTTTTCAGAATTAATATCAAACAAATCCTAAACCATTGAATTAACGAAAATCTTCGGGAAAAAAAACAAAGATTGTTTTCCCCCCTCATTTGTCCATCGTCATTTTGCTCATATTTCAAAAACATTTTCTTTGTTTCTAAATCTTTTTCTTCATCTGGTGAACCCTATTTTCTTTTTGTGTGTTCGTCAAAAGTGTGGATTTGTTTGATGAGGTTGCAATAGTTTCCTCACGTTTGGGTTCTTTGGTTTTTGATATTTCATTACAATTGGAATCAAAATTATTTCGGATGCAAGAACCTGCAAAACATGCATGATTATTTGTTATTTTCTCAAGAACACTTTGGATTCTTGAGCTAGGTTACGATTTTTTTTGTAGGCTTTTTTTGGCTCTTTTCATTTTTCATTCGTTTATAAAAAAGAAAGAAAAACAATTAAGATTTTCTGTTCTCGGAATGTCAAGTACCAAGATGAAAAGCCTCTTGAAAGGGCTCCGATATATATCTCAAGTGTTCGGTTAGTTTTTATTCCTTCTCAATACATACATATTCAAGCTAACATGTTGATATTCGAGAAAAACACTACATTTCTTATGGATTTATGTTGAAAAGAATAACATAAACAATAGAGAAGAGATTGGTCATATATATTTTCACTAGACTACTTCCAAGGCATCTCGCATCCTTTTATACATAAATTTCTTTTATTAAGCACTGGTTAATTATATGAGTTGTCTAGTGTTTTCGGTGTTTTGATGATGCATGCCTATTAATTATCTAGAAAGTGTTTGAAAAGACAGTGGTGAAATGTCAATAGGTTCTCATTGACATAATGGCTTGATGTGAATATATTAATAACTGATAAGTAAACTATAAAACCACCGAGTACTTACAAAGGATGCATTTGGTATTCAAATTAGCTGGACAGTAAATATGTTTGAAACTGGATTCCACTTACTGCTGCATCGATTGTAATAAAAGTCATGGGAACAATTTTTACATTATCCAGTTGGATGAAATTAAGGGGAATAATTTTTTTGTTTGTTCCATCCATTCATTCATTTCAGATGAATTAAGGTTTTGGTTATGTTTTTGATATGATAATTAGCAATAGAAGGTGAAAAGGAACCAGAGATGCAAATCGGAAATCCAACGGACGTAAAGCATGTTGCCCACATTGGTTGGGATGGGCCGTCCGATCAATCTACTGCACCTAGCTGGGTACTACTCTACTCTGTTCTTATGTCTATCTTTGCAAACATTTATATTTTGTCAATTAAATTTCAAAAAAACTTAACTTAATTATATCACATAATCTTGGAAGATGAACGATTTCAAGTCATCTCCGGGATCGGAACTAACTCAAGGATGTGGAGAAGACGATTCCTCCGTGAAATGTAAATCGGAATACGGTGGTCGGTCCAGAGATTTACCAAAAGTACCAAAATCCAGTAGAAAATCAGCCTCGGAGAAAGGTTCACCGACGAAAGAGAAATCATCTGATAAGACCAAACGTAGGACTTCGAACAAAGGCACATCATCATCGTCTAGGAAAACCAAGGAACAAGACGAAGACTCTTCTTTGTCTCAACGCAGTGTTGGATTGCCTGAGATTCCAAAGAAATCAAAGAGGAAGAAGCCTAGAGATGGTAACGGAGGGTCTTCGAGATCATCTACAAGATTCGATGTTGACAAAATGTCGGATTTTATGTCTGATGCTGGCTCCGTTAGGTCTATGTCTCAATTCGACGACGACAAATGATTTCATTTGGGATTCATAATTGTAAAAACAATAACAAGAGTCTTTAAATTTTTGTAATAGAAATTGTTGAAGATCATTCACTACCGAGAAAACTAATAATTACAACCAAAAATTTAATCTTTCACCCTAATCAAAAAGGTCAAAAGCATAATAAATGTTCAAACTTTTTCTCCCTAATCTGTTCTTTGGTCTTCTGCGTTCTCACTGTTTCATCAAAATGTAAAGAACCATAAACACTGTAGGGAAGCAAATCGACGAGAACGCCCTTGCCGCCGACGAAGAGAGAACCGGTCCGGCGAGAGGAGGATCAGAGTTTTTAGCGAAGACGAGATTTGGGTTCCCGCTTAATCTGAGCTTTTTCCCGATTCTATCTCTGAAGCTCTCAGAGAACGGAGCTTTTCCGGTGAGATTGTTGTTCTCGAGGTTGATTTCTCGGGCAAAGTCCAAAAACCCAAACTCCTCCGGGATGTGACCGTCGAGATTGTTGTTGTCGAGCGCGAGGTACCAGAGGTTTCTGGGACCCGACCCCATTGAAGCCGGAATGTTCCCTCTGAGACCCATCCTCGAAAACCCAATTCCAGAAATACCCTCGAGATTCTTCCAAATCTCCGGGATACGCCCTCCGAGCTGATTCCCACTCAGATAAACCTCTCTCAGTCTGGGCATCTCCGAGAGAAACAGAGGAATGCCGTAGTTCCCGAAACGGTTGTAGCTCAAGTCCAAAAACTCGAGCTTTTTCAACTTCCCGACGCCGGAAGGGATCTCGCCGGAGAAATCATTGAAGCTGAGATCGAGCTTGAGAAGCTCGGACGAATCGCCGATGGAATCAGGGGCGTTTCCGTCGAGAAAGTTATGGCTGAGGTCTAAAACTTTCAGATTCCTCAGACGAGACGTCGCGTTCGCCGGAAAACCTCCGCTCAGGCTGTTTCTGGAGAGCGTGATCTCTTCCAAGCTGACGAAATCGGAGATCCGACCCGGGATCGACCCGTGAAGCCCGTTGCCGGAAAGAACGAGTCTCCGGAGCTTGGTGAAGTTTCCGACCAAGGAACTGATTTGGCCGACGAGAGACGGGTTTTCGATGAAGACGAGCTCTTCGAGAAAGGACCCGAAACCTTCCGGGATGGTTTCCGGCAACAAGACGCGAGCTTCGCCGGTGAAGCATTTGTAGAAGAAAAGCTTGCGGAGGCGTTTGAAAGAAGTGAAGAGGAGAGGATCGAGTGTAGCGTTTGAAGCGCAAGGAGGGCTTTGCGTGTAGTCAGAGACGTATCCCAAATGAAGCTCGACGACGTGGACAGACGTTGGGACGCCGTTCGGGGAAGCGTATAAGAAGTCGCATACGACGCCGTATGGTGGCGACGCGCAGAGATCGTCGGGGTAGATGGTTCGCCATGGAATCGCTGAGTTGACTGAGTCGAAGACTCGGTAGACCGCTTCTTGCTCCGACGGGTCTAGGGCGGGTTGAGGCGGCGGTTCGTCGTCGTTTTGCTGGCTGGAGGTGAATGTAGCGGAAAAGAGGAAAAGGAGAAGGAGAAAGAGGCTACGATGAGAAGTCGCCATGGAAGCAGAGAAAAGCAAGCTTTTTTATGATTTCTTTGTTTTGCAGCTTTTTTGTTTGGATTTGGGTTTGTTGCTAACGAGCGATACGTACCTTTTTATGGCTTCAAGCTCACTAGTCCCTTACGATAAAATACGTAAATACCCTTACTTGAAAATCGAAATGAAGGTTTTTTTACAGTTAAAAAATTATACATTCTTACACTGGTCTTCGATTTCAGTTATTTTTTTTGTTAGAAATTCCAGCATTTACGTACTTATACAAATTTGAATTTCGTATTAACATTCATATTTTTAAAAAGATTTATAAATTTTTGGTAGAGAGAGAAGAGATTTTTGGTAGAAAACAAATTGGGAGGGGTAGGATAGTAAAAATGTGGGAAGGTTACAAAAGCTTCACGTTCCGTGGGTAAAAACTTAGAAAAGTGAAGGAAAAAGCATGAGCTGAGGTTGTCGGGACCATACTGGACGAAAACAGCATAGAGAAGACGACACCGTTTCGATTTTTAGCCATATTCACCAAAACCAGTACTCTAGTTTAACTTTTTCTTACTTTACCCTATAGATCTTTTTTTCATTATGTCAATGATGGTTATTAATTTATAAATTTTAAATCCTAAACTCTTACCGTCAAATTTCTCAATCAAAGTTCAAATGTCGCTTCTGCTTTTCGCATTATCGAAATTTTAGAGTTTATAATTTAAAGGATTTTTTTTCAAAAGGAACAAAAGCTGTATATAATCATACATGTCTTTGTTAAACACTTCACCCTAAAATTTTAAATTTGCATTTTAAATTCTCTTATAGAAAAGACAAATAAGAGATAGCATTCTGGCCATTCCATTATACTTGCATCAATAAATTACCAACACGATGTACATTTTTTAACAAATAAAAGGAAGTGACAAAAAAGAGAAGAAAAAAGCTGAATTGTTAGGTAACAGAGACAGAGGAGGAGGGGGCAAACGGCGGAGGAACAGACAAGGACGCGCCGTAGCCGCCGAAGGGAACAGTGTATGTATCGTACAGAAAGGGACGGGTAAAGGAGTCTTCCAGTATAGTGTTGACACGTGTTTCTCTCTTACCGGAAACGGCACGGTCTCACGCATGCCACTTCTATTTCCGGTTCCTGCCCTCCACTGTCCCCACTGTGCCAGCGTTACAGACCGGTCAATTTTGTTTTATCTTTTTTTTTTTACTTATCTATCCTTATTATCTGTCGCTGTTTAAATTCTTTGTACGACAAAATTGTACAATGCCTTTTGCAGTTGGTGCTTGGTCCTCGTTGTTTCCTACAAGTAATGGAACCAAATTAATGGTTCATTGATTTCTTGCACAAAAAAAAAAAAAAAAAAAAAAAAAAAAAATGGTTCATTGATTTCGGATTATTAAATGTAACATTTGATAATGCGATTGTATATGTTTTATGGTAATATGGGCTCTTAAATTTTAAAGCCCATCAATAACTTTGTGCCGGCCTTGTTTTAAATGTAACGTATACTATGATTGGAACTTTTGCATAGTAGTAAAAAAATCAAGATCGTACAAATGTCTTTAATGTTTTTAATGTCTTTCCATATTGGCTAGGACTGATAATTGACCTTAGACTATGTAAAGTTGTAAACTCTCCTAAGTCCTAACTTAGTAGTACACTGTACACTGACGCCATACAAATATGTGAAAAGAGATAATTAAAATGTTAACAAACAGGTTGACATTTGAAAATTTAATACTACAATAATTTTTGTAAAATAGAATTTCTGGATTTCCAAATATGATATAGTCCACTAGGTTTGTTTGATTCATCTTTATCTTAACATGATAAATGGTTACGATTCAAGCAATCTATCTATGACTTATATGTGTGTCCTTTACAAAAGAAAGCTAGGTTGTATAGTTTAACGGTGTCCATTATACAACACTAGAACCAACTATTTTAAAGTGTAGGTGTACTACAATTCGAATTTAATTAAGTTTGTCGGTAGAAATATAATGGTTTTTATATCTTGCAAGTCTCATTTTTTATTTTGATACCATCATACCACTTATATTCGAAAATGTTGAACCCCTGACTTAATATAACAAAATAAAGCGGAAGATAAATAAAATAAAAACAAATCGAAAGTAGGAAAATCCCTAATTTTTGGTAAACAAAAACAATAAAATACGCAAAAGCACAAAAAGAGAAAAGAGACTTTCGAGAGCTGGTAGTGAAAAATGGATTTGGAGATGTCAATTTTAGCCCTGGGCACGGAGCAAATACTAGGCAAAAAACAGGTATCCGTGATCCGATCCGATCCGTCCGGATATTTGATTTTCTGATCCGATCCGATCCGAAAATTTTCGGATATCCGAAAATCCGGATATTCGTAACTTTGTTTAATATCCGCGGATTATCCGCTCCGATCCGTTTGATCCGGATATCCGTAACTCTGTTTAATATCCGTGAATTATCCACTCCGTAAATATTTTAAAAAATATTTGTATTTAAAAAATTTCAGAAAAATCAATTTTTAACACAAAAATATAATTTTAATTAAAAAACTATTAGTAGTTATTTTGTTTTAATTTTTTTTAGTGTTTAAATAATCAATTTAATGAATATAGATTTATAAAATTTAGATATAAACATAACAATCATCCAATTTATATATGTAATTTTATATATATAGATATATCTATATGTATAACGGAGCGGATCGGATATCCGGCTTTTAAAATTTCAGTATTTGTGATTTGCTCCGGTTTTAACGGATATTAATTTTTAGTATTTGCTTTGCTTTGTAAAATTACGGTTATCCGGATTTTTCGGATCGAATCGGAACGGATAACGGATCGAAGCAAATATAACGGATAATTTGCCCAGGCCTAGTCAATTTCCTTACTCAAAGACAGAAATCTATATCTGTCAAGTATCAATCTTATCGTAACACATTAATTTTGTATCACGTCTTTTAGGAGTGGGTGGGACCCAAAAGCAGCAAAAAATAAATAAGACTCCGAAGCCATCTTCTCTGTTTTTTCTTATTCTTTTGTTAACTTAAAAGTTGATGCATCCTTAAATCTTCCGTTCCAACTTCCAACGATATGCTGCTAATCATAAAGACGGTTTGATTCTTAAAGCTTATGATATCTCCTTAAATGAAAACCTAGTCCAATCATTAACTCCATTTCTCTCTACAAGTTTGGAATAAGTCGAAGAAGAGAGAGAGACAGGCAATTACATGGAAGAAGTTAGAGGAATAAGAAGAAGCAGAGGACATCCTCTGTTGAGATCCAAGAAGAGAGCAGGAGGCTATAACCATGGCTTCTCACTGTCTCAGATCCAAACTCTCTCCGTCATCTGTCAAACTCTCCTCCCTCCGCCGCCGCAGCAGCAGCAAGCTCTCAAAGGCTCTCAACCACCATTCCCTGATGAGGTTCTCTCTCTCTCTCTCTCTCTCTCTCTCTCTCTCTCTCTATTTCTACTGTTGAATAGTTCGTTTTGACTTTCTGAAATCAAGGTCTTATTCAATAAAGGCAATAACTTTAGATACTGTTTCTAGAAACGTTGGTGGGTCTTGTTCCTTTTTTTCTTTTTCTTACAACCAAATTCTGTTTTCTTTGTTGTTGTTGTATCGATTTCTCTAGGTAGCTGATATGATAGTGAAAAATGGACGAGCACAAGCAGTGAAGGTTTTGAAAATGATATTGACGATTTTGTCATTCAGATTTGGAACATTTTTGCTTTGTGGCTCTCTCTGTCTTGATAAGCGTTGGCCTTTTGTTCTTAATTTCTCTGAACTTCCATTGTATAAAAGAGAAGAGATCATGAGGAAATGGTCAAGAAAAAGTGGACTCCTTCTTCCTCTTCGAATCACTTTTTTCCTCACAAAATTCTACACTCTCTTCTCCTTCTTCTCCCAGGTAAAACAAATATTCACCGATCCAAGTTTTAGTTTCACTGAATGAGAATAATGAATATTAGTAAGGTGTTTGTTTGTTTGTTTGTTCACAGACTGATGAGAATCTGAAGAATCCTGCATTGGAAGCTATAGGATATTGCAACGACACGACAGAGACAAGCAACGAGGAAGGTGAGAAACAACGGCCACTTGAGAAAGGAATCATTGAGACGACGAACGAGAGTGACATTACCATCACACAGTCTCTAATAAAAAAAGGGCTTCATGTCTCTAGAGAGAACAATGATGGTGTGCACAGGATCAGATGCGACGCGGTTGTTATAGGCTCGGGAAGCGGAGGAGGTGTAGCAGCTGCGAACCTAGCGAAAGCAGGATTAAAAGTCTTGGTTCTTGAGAAAGGAAACTACTTTGCAGCTCAGGACTACTCAGCTCTAGAAGGTCCGTCTATGATGGAGCTATACGAGAAAAGCGGGCTTCTAACAACGGTCGACGGGAAATTCATGGTCTTAGCCGGCTCAACCGTTGGAGGAGGCACAGCTGTTAACTGGTCTGCGTCAATAAGAACACCAGATCATGTTCTGCAAGAATGGTCGGAAGAGAGCAAGATCAGGTTTTTCGGTAGCCAAGAGTATCAATCTGCGATGAATGAAGTTACTACAAGGATCGGTGTCACGGAAAGATGTGAAAGTGAAGGGTTTCAGAATCAGGTTCTAAGGAAAGGATGCGAGAGACTAGGGTTGAAGGTAGTTTCGGTTCCGAGGAATGCATCGGAGAATCATTACTGTGGCTCTTGCGGGTATGGTTGTAGAGCTGGAGATAAGAACGGGACAGACCGGACTTGGCTTGTTGATGCTGTAGAGAACGGTGCAGTGATCTTGACAGGTGTCAAAGCAGAGAGGTTTGTATTAGTAGACAACGAGAGTAAAGAGAGAAAGAAACGATGTGTGGGAGTGGTTGCGAGCTCTGTGGGAGGAAAGAAGTTTATGATTGAAGCTAGAGTGACGGTTTCATCCGCTGGCTCGCTGTTGACACCGCCTCTGATGCTTACGAGCGGGCTAAAGAACCGGAACATTGGGAAGAACCTGAAGCTGCATCCGGTTCTGATGACATGGGGATACTTTCCTGAGAAAGGTTCTGAGTTCTCAGGGAAGATATACGAAGGAGGGATCATCACGTCAGTGCATCATGTAAACGATGGTGATGAGTCAGAATGCAGAGCGATATTGGAGAATCCGTTGATAGGACCAGCTTCTTACGCGGGGTTGAGCCCGTGGGTTTCAGGAGCTGACCTTGAGGAGAGGATGATGAAGTATGGAAGGACGGCTCATTTGTTTGCTCTGGTTCGGGATAGTGGCTCAGGCGAGGTGTTGAAGGAGAGCGAGGTTACGTACAGGACAAGCAAGAGAGATAGAGAGAATTTGAGGGTGGGGCTTAGACAGGCTTTGAGGGTTTTGGTTGCGGCAGGTGCAGTTGAAGTGGGGACGTATAGGAACGATGGACAGAGGATGAAGTGTGAGGGGGTTACGAGGGAAGAAATGGAGGAGTTTTTGGATGGAGTTGAAGCGGATGGTGGTGTGAGCACGAAGAAGGAGTATTGGACGACGTACTTCTCGGCTCATCAGATGGGGAGTTGCAGGATGGGGAGGACGGAGGAGGAAGGTGCGGTGGATGAGAAGGGTGAGAGCTGGGAAGCGGAGGGGTTGTTTGTTTGTGATGGAAGTGTGTTGCCTTCGGCTGTTGGTGTGAATCCGATGATCACTATTCAGTCTACTGCTTACTGCATCTCCCAAAAGATCGTTCAGTCTCTGCAAAACGATTCAAGATAGGCAAGATATAGAGAAACAGAGAGAAAGAAGTGAAACCTTCCCTCTTTCATGGAAGATTTCAGATTCATATATAGAATAAATGAGGTTTCGTAGCAAGGCAGGTTATGTTAAGCAATCATATGATTACTCATTACTGAACATATGTTTCTGCAATGGTACTACCAGATATCAAATTTATTTGGTTAATTTGGTTATCCCATTTAAATAATAATACACAAAATATAAATGTGACCATTAATTTGGTTATCCCATTTGAATGATAATACACAAAATATAAATTAATGTGACCATTAATTTGGTTATCCCATTTAAATTTATTTTGATAAAACTTTATAATCCACTAGATTTGTTTCATTAAAATATAAATAATTAGATATTGATTTTTTATTTATGTGTATTCCAATAATTACCTATTTTTTAAAAAATGACAATAATCACATATCCAATTATCCATTTTTTGTTAGATTTAGAAACATTCACTTGAATAGTTGTCAATTTTTAAAAACTTTTTCTACTCAAAGTCAAAATGTTAAAAAGTTCGATTAGTGAAGAAAAGCATCCTCACAAGTCACACGAGTAACGAATAAAATAAAATAAATACACTCAAATCGCACGCATGTTTCCCTCCAAAGGATCTATAAATACCTGTCAGATAAATTCACACATGCTCACGAGTTAAATCCTTCCTCATCCTCACCCAGACTCTGAGAAAACCAACAGAAAATCTCCGGCGAACAAGTTAGTTACAAAGACGATAACCGTCTCCGATCAATCAATTTAGCTCCGATCGTCATCTCCTTTCGTCCTGCGACTGCAATGGCGGGCGATAACTTGGTGAACCTCGGCGATTTGGTCGTCGGAAATGTGGTGAGCTTTCGCTCGTCGAGACTGGGTGCCCGCTACGAAGGAAAGATCTTCTTCTTCACGCCGCACAACACGAGATTCGGGATCGAGAAAGGTAAAATTGCTTTTCCGCGAATTTCTAGTTGATTCTTTTACTCAATCGTCTACGCTCTTCGTTGGAATTGAGAAAATTTGGCTGATTACTTCTCGTTTAGTACTGTTGCGATCGAGAACGAATATTGCAGTGGGTTCGATTCTTGGTCAATTCTGGGTTAATCCAATCGGATAATGGTTTACTTGTTCGATTTGTGTAGAGGAATTGCAATCGGAAGAGTAAGATTTATGGTTTGGGGTTTTAGATTTTGCTGCGATTTAGAAACAATCCATTGTAGATTCTGGAAAAGTCCGTAATGTGTTTGATGAAATTAATCGTTTTTCTTCACAGATTTCGTGTTGCGTGTATGAACACAAACGTTGATTTGTATGACGATGTTTAAGAGATTCTCTTGGATAAGCGTTTTTGTGAAATCTTTCTTCGTTATCTTTATCATATTGAGTGAAACGAGTTTGCCTCTGATTGTACAGTGACGTGTATCGGAAGTAACGGGAAGAGGATTGACTTGAGTGGCGTTTACATTAACGGTCTCCAGTACATTGAGGTTTGTTGTATCACTAACATGTTGTATCGTCGTCACTATTGCTCTGTTTTACACAAAGGCTCTCAACAGTTTTTTTGCTTTACTTTAAACTCAGGACTTAAGGGTGATAGAACGTGCTGACCCAAATGCTGTGTCTGATGAGGATGAAGAGATGGCTGATGCATCATCAGGTAACAACAATCAAGCTGCAAGAGGAGGACCAAACGCTAGCAACACACAGGTGATTTAATCAGCTGGAATATTGCAAAAATGAATACGCATTTATGAGCTTTTTAAAGAAAGATGTGAATGTATTTCTTCTCCTAGGCTGGTCAGAACAGTAATGGCGCATCTGGTGCTACAAATGTGAATCAAGCTGCAAGATCAGGCTCTAGCAAACCTCAGGTAAGCTGAAGTGTTGAGAATGAAATGTGCATTTTTATGAGCTTTTAAATACCAAGATGTTAATGGATTCTTTTTTGTTTAAATCCTATTCACAGGTTCGTCAGGTCGGAAGGTTTAGGATTTCTTAAGGGCCATACGGTATCTTCAGAGTCATGCACAGTAGAGATTGCCTTACCAGTTACCACCCTTTTTCGAATCATATTTCTTCATCATATACATATATGATCCACCAAAAGTATAGATAGAGACCCCTTTTGCTTCTTCTTTCAGTTCGGTACAGAGCAATGTATTTTTGACTAGAGCTTCTCTTGGTTCACTTGGATGTTGGTGTTTTTAGTTTCCATAGCTTTGGATTTTTGACATCTATATGGATGTTCACTGAGTAACAATGTCCTTAATCTAGATTTTGATTGATACCATTTTCTTTAATACTCCACTCATATTTGTTTTGTGTATACGTGAGTGAGTATGTGCATGTTCCTCTGTTTTCGACTCTCTCTCTTTATTTTGGATCAATTTGAAACCCATCTCAAAAAAGAAACATTTGGTAGAAACGTGTGTTTCAAGAAGTTGGTGTTACATGATAATTATCGAAGTTTGTGGAAGAGTAATATATTTTTGGGCCTTGCTCTTATCTTCTTTCTCAAGCTCATACCCAACAGCTTTGTATTTGTTCATCCATCCAAATTCAAGTTAACCCTATTTTGAATGCTATGATTTTCCTCATTGAGGATACTATTGCCGTCACACACACGCAAAAAAAAAAAGGAAACTTATGTCGTCGAGACGTCGACCCAAAAAGAAAAGGATACTGTGATCTTTATTTCCTATTTTCCTTAGTGATACAGAAAAGTTATAAAACGGTGGTGAGAATATGTTTTAGAGAAAATTAACTTATTTGAGGAAGAATATGTGACTATACTTTACATTTATGAAAATGCAAAATATACGTACATTCCTTTACGCATACAAACGGGTGTGTATATATATAAGTATAATTGTCTAGAGGAAGAAGCACAAAAGTTGAACACAAATTTTATTAGCTTTCTACTGAAACAAGAAGAATGGCGGTGGGTAGTTATATCGTAGCCGTTGCCGTCGTCACCATTGTCATCCTTGTGGGCGTTGCATCATGCTTTTGGAGGAAGATTTGGAATAAAGCTACGGCCTTACGGGCAACAAATGTTTAACGTCACTACTTCGGTGGTTTTAGGTAATTCCGCGATTTGATTTCTATTATTTTCAAGATGATTATGATCATCACACTTTAAACAATTTTTTTTTGTTTTGGTTGTAATTTTCAGCGTTACCGGAACAATGGTTTGAAGATACGAATAAGAGTCTAGCTATCTTTTGATTTGTTTTCCCATAGTTGATTTTTTTATTATCGTTTTAATGATTTCTTTTACTTTTATTGCTACTTGTTCTGGATTACTGAAATAATAATTATGGCTTAATAATTTTTCTACTGCATAGAACACACAACAATATTATCTTACAATCAAATACTGTATGTCCAAAGCTTCTGATGGTACTATAACCGTATAAGAGCCCTTAAAGAAGCAGAGACAACTTTTTAACCAAAAATCCAAAATTTACCTCTTCTTCACCAGCTTTCTCCATAAAGCCTCTTCCATCTCGATTTTGAAAACCAAACAACATAAAGTCGAAATAAGTGAGCCCTGTTTAAATCTCAACATCCTTTCCCTACACACTGGCCTTTTTTTGAGTTAGAACTCTACCTAACAATAATACGGGGTTATATTAGCCTTGTCGACCCACGAAGGTCTCTTTGCTTTATAGTAGAAATATGCAATCATCTGAACCAATTCATCCGTCGTTCGAAAGTCTGCATCCAAGTTTCAACACTGTATGATGCTGATGATGATCCAATATTGCTTTGCTTTGCTCATATATATATTTCAAAAAAAAAAAGAAAACAGCACTATGTAATCAATTTATCACCTTTCTCCCTGTATAGAATCCGGTTTCCCCGTAAAAACAGAATCTGTGGGCATTCCATTGTAGATTCTGGAAAAAGTCCGTGATGTGTTTGATGAATTCAATCGTCTTGCTTCACAGATTTCTTGTTGCGTATATGAACATAAACGCTGATTTGTATGACCATGTTTAAGAGATTCTTGGATAAGCATTTTTGTGCAATCTTTCTTCGTTATCTTTATCATATTGAGTGAAACGAGTTTTGACTCTGTTTGTACGGTGACGTGTATCGGAAGTAACGGGAAGAGGATTGACGTCAGTGGCGTTAACATTAACGGTCTCCAGCACATTGAGGTTTAGGATTTCTTGAGGGAAATATGGAATCTTCAGAGTCATGCACAGTAGAGATTCCCTTACCAGTTACCACCCTTTTTCGAATCGTATTTCTTCATAATATACATATATATGATCCACCAAAAAGTATAAGTAAATCGCTTTTGCTTCTTCTTTCTGTTCGGTACAGAGCAATGTCATTTGACTAGACCTTTCTTAGTTCCTTCGACGTTGGTGTTTTTAGTTTGCATAGCTTTGGATTTTTGACTTCAGTGAGTAACGTCCTCAAAAGATTTTGATTGATACCATTTTTTTTTTTGGTGAAGGCACTCCTCTCATATTTGTTTTGTGTATACGTCCTCAAAGTATGTGGATGTTTCTCTGTTCTAGAGTCTCTCTCTTTATTTTGGATCAGTTTGACACTCATATAAAAAAAAAAAAAAAATTGGTAGAAACCAAGTCTTACCTCAATTAAAAGTTACATTTTGGTATGTACGAACTATGAATCCATATTAATTAAGAAGTTGGTGTTACATGATAATTATCGAGGTTTGTGGAAGAGTCATATATATATTTGGGTCTTGTTCTAATTTTCTTTCTCAAGCTCATATGGCCCATACCCAACAACTTTGTATTTGTTAATCCATCCGAAATCAAGTTAATCCCTTTTTTGAATTCTATAATTTTTCTCCCTATTGTCGTCACACAGAAAAAAGAGAGGACCATCTTGTCGTCAACAAAAAAGATGATATACTGTTATATTAGTGATACAGAAAAATTATAAAATAGTGGTAATAATATGTTTGAGGTGATGTTATTGGTTTCATATATTGAAATCAATTCCAACAGATTTGAAATACAAATTTTCAATTTTTTAGGATCACTGTATAATGATTCATTCACTTTGCAATCTATACTATCATAATTATCTTTAGATTTTAAAATATAAGGCAGTGTAGTTATAAAATCAACATGATATGATTTGATTTCTACAATATAATCAAATTCAAACAATAAATAAATCAATAAATAAATAATTACTGTAAAAGTTAAAAAAGTGAAAATTGGAAATCTCCATTAATTGAAATGTCTAAGTTTGATTTTTGGTCCCAAAAATGCAAAATTGATATTTTTACATTTGGCCAAAGAGATGAATTTTCATGTTCCCTACTTTATGATCCAAGTATAGTATTTCTTATATAAATGGTTTTGATTAAATCTGAGTTTAATAAAGAAAAATTGTATGGGTGAAAATTGATTTACTCGTGGAGGAAGAAAGGTGATGTGGGTTAATGGTGATAATTATTGAAATGAATAATTATAATAAACTGATTACAAAATCTGAAGATAAAATATTAGATTTTGATTGCTATAATTTACACATGAAAGTGATTTTAAATCAAACAAACTATTTCAAGTGAAATTAGTTGAACAAAATCTATCAAATTTGAATAACAAAAGACTTTAAATGATCTATTCAACTCCTTAATTGAGTAACACGAGATTTAAAACTCTTTTAACAAAGTATTATAAATACTTAAACCATAAACCAATAACATCAAATTTGTTAAAAGATTTCAAAATCACAATTGAATAACAATGGATTATGATTAGATTTAAACTCTATTAAAAATCATGATTGAATAACACATCCCTTATAGAAAACTATATAGATACATATTTCCTTTATACATACAAACGGATGTATGTGTATATAAGTATAATTGTCTAGAGGAAGAACAAAAATCAAACACAAATTTTGTTAGTTCTCTGCAGAAAAATCGCTTGCATTTTAAGATAAGAAACAAGAAGAATGACGGGTGATAATGATTATATCATAGCCGGCGTCGTCGTCGTTGTCATCCTTTTGGGCGTTGCAGTGTGCTGGCATAAGAAGAGTTCGAAGAAATCTAGTAGCGAGTCAGTGGATTTAACGTGACTACTTTAGTGGATTTAGGTAATTACGCGAGTCGATTTCTATTCTTTTCAATATGACTATGATTATCACACTTGAACTTTTTTTTTTGTGTTGTAAGTTTCAGCAGCATTACCAGAACAATGGTTTGAAGTAATACAAATAAGAGTCTATCTACCTTTTGATCTTTTTGTTTTACTATAGTTAATTTGTTTTATTATCGTTTTAATGAGTTCTTTATCTTTGTTGCTATGTATATTACTGAAATAATAATAATAATTATGGCTTGGTAAATTTTCGACTGCGTAGAACACACCACAGAATTTATATTACAATCAAATACTGTATATGGTCCAAAGCTTTTGATGATATAAGATTATAAGACATTAAGAAGCAGTTACAACTTTGGTAACACAATTCAACACACAAACAAAAAACTGTGATTCTTATACCAAAATCCAAACTTCACCTCTTCTTCACCAGCTATCTCCATAAGCCTCTTCCCTCTCGATTTTCAAAACCAAACAACACAAACTTGAAATAAGTGAGCTTTGTTCAAATCTCAACATCCGTTCCCCTTTTTCGAATCATATTTCTTCATCATATACATATATACAATATGATCAACCAGAAGTATAGATAAATCCCTTTTGCTTCTTCTTTGTGTTCGGGACAGAGCAATGTCCTTTGACTAGACCTTTCTTAGTTCCTTCGACGTTGGTGTTTTTAGTTCGCGTAGCTTTGGATTTTTGACTTCAGTGAGTAACGTCCTCAAAAGATTTTGATTGATACCAAATTTGTTTTTGGTGAAGGCACTCCTCTCAGTGAGTATGTGGATGTTTCTCTGTTCTAGAGTCTCTCTCTTTATTTTGGATCAGTTTGACACTCATATAAAAAAAAAAAAAAAATTGGTAGAAACCAAGTCTTACCTCAATTAAAAAGTTACATTTTGGTATATACGAACTATGAATCCATATTAATTAAGAAGTTGGTGTTACATGATAATTATGGAGGTTTGTGGAAGAGTCATATATTTTGGGGCTTTGCTCTTATCTTCTTTCTCAAGCCAATACCCAACAGTTTTTTATTTGTTCATCCATCCGAAATCAAGTTAATCCCTTTTCTGAATTCTATGATTTTTCTCATTGAGGATATTATTGTCTGTCACACAGAAAAAAAAAGGATCTTATTGTCGTCGACAAAAAAAAAGAGGATACCATTATATTTGTGATACAGAAAAATTACAAAAATGGTGGTAATAATATGTTTTAGGTAGTGTTATTGGTTTCATATATTGAAATCAATTCCAACAGATTTGAAATACAAATTTTTAAAAAAAAATTGGATCATATATAAGGATTCATTCACTTCGGAATCTGTACTATCAGAACTATCTTTAGATTTTAAAATATATTATTTATAAAATCAACATGATATGATTTTATTTCTGCACGGAATCAAATTCAAACAACAAATAAATTAATAAATAAATAAATAATTACTGTATAAGTATAAAAAAAAGTGAAAATTGGAAATTTCCGATAATTAAACTTGGAAAGTCCCAAAAATGCAAAATTGATATTTTTACATTTGGTCAAAGAGATGAATTCTCATGTTCACTATTTTATGATCCAAGTATAATATTTCTGTTATAAAGGGTTTCTATTAAATCTGAGTTTTGATAATTAAAAAAAAAAAATGTATGGGTGAAAGGTGATTTACTCGTGGAGAAGAAAGGTGATGTGGGTTAATGGTGATAATTATTTAAATGAATAATTATAATAAACTGATTACAAAATCTGTTTACAAAATCTGAAGATAAAATGTTAGATTTTGATTGCTATAATTTATAGGGAAATTTCTACATGAAAGTGATTTTAAATCCAAACAAACTATTTTAAGTGAAATCAGTTGAACAAAATCTATTAAGTTTGCATAAAAAAAGACTTTAAATGATCTATTCAACTCCTTAATTGAGTAATACAACATTTTAAAACTCTTTTAACGAAAGTATTCTAAATACTTAAACCAAGAACATCAGATTTGGTTAAAAGATTTCAAAATCACAATTGAATAACAATGAATTATGATTATATTTAAACTCTATTAAAAACCATGATTGAATAACACCTCTTATAGAAGATTAACTTTATGAATATGCAAAATATACGTACATATTTTCTTTATACATACAAATGGGTGTGTATATATATATATATATATATATATATATAAGTATAATTGTCTAGAGGAAGAAGAACAAAAGTCGAATACAAATTTTGTTAGTTCTCTATAGAAAAATCGCTTGCGTTTTAAGATAAGAAAGAAAAAAAATGATGGAAGATACTAATAATGATTATATCATAGCCGGCGTTGTTATCGTCATTGTCATCATTTTAGGAGTTGCATTATGCTGGTATAAGAAGATTTTTAACAATTGTAGAGGTGACAATGAAAATGAAACTGAGGAATAACATGATTACTTCGGTGGACTCAGGTAATTCCGCGAGTTGGTTTCTATTCTTTTCAAAATAACTATGATTATCCCATTTGAACTTTAATTCTTTTAATTTTTGTTGCAAGTTTCAGCGTTACCGGAACAATGGTCTCGAATAAAATTAAAAAAAAAAAAGAATTAATGAAAGTTTTCTTTCTGAATCACTTCCGAACGGCATTACAAATAAAAGTCTAGCTATCTTTTGAGCCTTTGTGTTTTACTATAGTTAACTTTATTTATTATTGTTTTAATGATTTCTCTTTGTTGCTAGTTTTGCTATGTATATTTATTGAAATTTTATATATAATGAGAGGATAACTCTCTCCAGAGAGTGACACCTCAACATTTTAACTTCATTCTGGAAATGCCATGTGGCATCTCCTTACTAAAAAAATTTATACTTAATACTACGCCTGGTCATTTCACGGACCCGACGACCGAACCGAAGTCGACTCTAAAAAACCGGTTCGGATCCGTGACTATTACTCTATTGGGTCTGATTTTTTTTGGACCCATGAGTGTCAAGGTCGGTTTTAACCCAAAACCCAAAACCCGAAAAGTACCAAAAAAAATTAGTTATTTTATATTATTACTCATATTAAAAGAAATAAAAAGTAAAAATATATATATTGGGCTTAATGTTCAAGAAGCCCAACAATAACTATTAATGTACAAATGAGATTTTGTTCTTATATTTATAGAAGAAAACTTCTTTGCTTCACTTGCTTTGTTTCCGATGTGGGACAAAAGTAAAAACAAGAATTAAACATTATAATTTATCCCACATCGAATTTATATGATTGGAAAACTCATAACTTCTTCTATATAGATTAATATATTTTGATTCAATAATCACATGCAGAAAACATATTATAATAAATCAGAAAATCGATATATTTTCAGAGTTTTGCATTTAAATTTTTGTTTTCACAGGTTTTGGGATAATGATTGGATTTTTGGTATAAAAAACCCAAAAAACTGACCCGAATGAGACCCCAAAATCAGACCCGAATAAGAACCGAGGATCTAAAAAAATAGTCCCGGACCAATCCAAACCCGACATAAACCGAACCAAACCTGACTGGAAGCCCGAACGCCCACTATTGCCTCTTCACACTTCATCTTGAAGCCGAACCGCCATGATTGGACCAATCAGAGGCAAACTACCTAGAACGCAATAAAATGTATAGGAACCTTAATTACCATAATCGCTTTCATCCAATAACTTATAACTTTTTTTGCTTTTCTTTTACCATAAAATGTATTGTTTTGCTTTTCTTTTTTATCAGACCGGCGAATCATTTAATCATATCAACGAAAGCGATGCCGGAGAAGGAGAAGGAAAAAGATCCACAACAAGAGATTAAAGAAGAGACTAATCTGTTGCTTGATGATTCTCATCCCTACAGTGAATTGAGGCTGCGGAAAGTGACGGCGAGGGTGCGGAAAAGGTCTGATCAATGTATTCAGATCAAATCTCGGTGGTTGGTAGCAGAATCAGCTCGAGGTTCGATCTATTCTCAAGACTACTCTCTTGCTCGATGATTCTCACCCCTATAGTGAATTGAGGCTGCGGAAAGTGACAGAGACGGTGCGGGAGATGGAGATCCATCTGTATAAGTGTGGAAAAGGTCTTATTGATGCGTTCAAGTCGAATCTTGGTGGTTGGGAGCAGGATCAGCTCGAGGTTCGAACTATTCTCGAGAAATATAGATTAAAATCCATCTTTGCTTTCAACGTTTACAAATGTCGCTTCGAACTATTCTCGAGAAATATGGTTATTTATCACCCAAAATAAAATAAAATATATCCATAACCCAAAAAATACTCAAAAATCCGAAAAAAATATATTTGTAAATACTGGAAATATATCTGAAAATCAAAAAAGAAATTGAAAAACAAAAAAACTATTATTATTTATAATATCAAAAATTATCTACAATATCATAATTCAAGTAATTTGGGTATCCGGATTACCCAATATCCATATTACCCAATACCATGGCTATTAAATATTTACCCAATGGATGATTTGCTATATATCCAAAATCAATCAGGTACGGGCATTTTGGGTCGGTACGGTTTAGATTTTCGTGTGGAGGTTAAAAATCTCAGGCATACCGCAAACATTTTACAAAATTTGATTTTGGAGAAAACAATTAAAATATAAATAATAAAACTTTGTAATAGTCACAACCCGCGCATCGCGCGGGCTTAGCCCTAGTAATAATAATTATGGCTTGGTAAATTTTCGATTCAAAGAACACACAACAGAATTTATATTACAATCAAATACTGTATATGGTCCAAAGCTTTTGATGATATAAGTTTATAAGCCATTAAGAAGCAGTTACAATTTTGGTAACGTGTGCTTTTATACCAAAATCCAAACTTCACCTCTTTCTTCACCAGCTATTTCCATAAAGCCTCTTCCCTCTCGATTTTCAAAACCAAACAACACAAACTTGAGATAAGCGAGTCCTGTTTAAATCTCAACATCCTTTCCCCTACACACTCACATTTTTTAGTTAACTCTACTCGCTCCCATTGCAAACTAACAATACGGAGTAACATTAGCCTTGTCGACCCACGAAGGTCTCTTTGCTTTATAGTAGAAATGCGCAATCATCTGAACCAATTCATCCGCCGTTCGAAAGTCTGCATCCAAGTTTCAACACTGTTTAATGCTCTGATGAATATTGCTTTGCGTTAAACAGCATTATGTAAATCAAATCTATCACCTTTCTCCCTGTAAAGAATCCGGTTTCCCCGTAAAAACAGAATCTGTGGGCATTCCTTAGCTTTCAGAGCATATGCCAAATCTGTCTCTATGTTCCTGTCTATCTTCACCGCCTGTTTCATGCAAACCATTCTAATTCTTGTCAAGAAACAGAGCAGCAGAGATAAACTGCAAACAAGAGTAAGGCTTTGTGTGACATACACGTGGAGGTAATCGATCTTTTGCATCCCAATAAACTTTGATCGCTTTCTCAAGCTCCTTCAGTGTTCTCCAGTTATCGCTAGCCCTATAAACGCCAAAAAGACAAAGCTTTTATAGTTTTCTCTAAGCACACCAAGTGTTTGTGAGAATTCGTCAATGAGATAGAAAAGCTTTAACCTTTTGTAACGCTCGAAGACGAGGACGACGAGTGGGCTAGGATGAAAGGCGAAGCTTTCCCACTCCAGACAATTGATCTCCTTGACCCAACTGTCATCAATCTCTCCTTCCCAATCGATCTCAGTCCCGTCTTCTCCGACCACGTTTTTGATCGGATGCGAATCGAAATACTCGGAAGCTTTGATTCCCCATCCAACTTCCGTATCTACTGGCCAATCTGGATCTTCCTCTTCAACCACCATTGCCTCTTCTTCGTTTTCGTCTTCATCGTCGTCGTCGTTATCCTCGCTTCGGTCCTTGATGAAATTCGCCGTCTCCTTGTTCTCGAAAACCTCCGGATTCTGCTCTCGTATGGTGGAGAAAGTTCGCTCGAGTGAGCTCCTCACGAAATCCTCCACGGCGTCCGCCTCGCTCCGCCGCCCGCGCTTCGGTTTACGCGGGACCTTCGTCGGAAACTTCTCGCTCTCGTCGTCGTCACCACTTCTCGCCACTTCCTTCTTCTGGCGACGGACCCGATTTTGAGTTTTGGGTTTCAGATCGGAGGATTCAGGGTGGTCGGGTACCGCAGCAAGGCACACCGGAGGTTTCTGCACGCTCCGGGATGTTATACTCGCCGGGAAAACAGAGAGTGAACTGCGATGCACATCGGAGGAGCTCAAATTCAAGCCAGTGAGAAGCATCGACGAGCTTGGCGCGAAGGAAGCTATCGCTAGGAAACTCATTTCTCTGCAAAATTCAAACGAAATTCGCAGAGAAGTTTGGTTGTTGGGTTTTGAATCTGAAGGAGATAAAAGAAAAGACGAAGCAAATGAAGACAATGAATCTTTGGGCTAAACTAAAAGAATTGGGAAACATAAAACAGGCCCAAACCAAACAAAGCCCACTGACACAAAACTGAAATAATCCAAATCCAAACCAGAATAATACATACTCCACAAGTAATTACAAAAATGGCAACTCGAGTAACCAACCAGATTTACTTTCAGTTTCAGACTACTGTATGACTATTGGCTATTTCTTAAAAATGGCAACTTATCATATACTTTTTAAAATCGTATATATTTTACATTTTTGATTTTATGAATAGATACAAATTTCTATAATTTATAAATGTGAAACACCTTAATTAGTAGTATTCTCTGACCCGAAAACGTTAAGTTAACATTTTTTGTCTGATCTCGAAAAATGTTAACTTAGCGTTACAACACACAAATCATGACTATAATGCGTGTTCAAGAAGAAGGATGAGACGGAGACGATTATTTTTTATAATAATAGTAAGAAGACGATATGGAGAAGCTTGTTATATTGATCATTGTCGTAGGCTTGGTGCTCTGCCTTGTGTCGGTTTGTCGGATATCACGATTGCTTTGTGAAACATGGTGTGATTACCCTCAAAATCAGGATCGGCCCATAGCTAAAGTTGGTAAAGCTCATTCTTTAGGAGCCGAACTTTACATAGGATTTTAAGGGCGCCAAAATTGTAAAAATCACTTATAGTCTTGTGGTTTATGTCTCCCGACTCTTATACGATGCTTTTATTGATGGATTTTTACTTATGGGCTAAAATTATTTTTCTCTTGCTTTAGGTGATCCACCAGTTCGGACTGGCACTGCTCAAAATGATGAATTAGTTTGAGGTACCTCCTCAATCATCTTTTTGTTTTGGTTGAGCTAATTGATAAACTTTTCTTAAAGTGGATTTACTTATTCTTAGTATCGTGACAGTTTCGAGGAGGGTATGCGCAGCTGCTCAAAAACTGTAAAGAAAAAAAGGAGAGCTTGATTTCTACAATAATTTGTTTTGATATTATCTAAGACAAATTTGTTTGTTGAGGAGAAACAAAAGTTTTTGATATGTTTCCCTTATTCAAGTTGTTTTTACAACACGTAGTTAGTATGTTGTAGAATGGGGATTGAAACTGATGGCAGTTTTTATGGACCTCACATCAATTTCGCCATTCAAGATTCTCATGTTTTTATTACAGGTTGACTATTTTTTCAACTATTTCACAGAAATCACAAACTATATAGCTTCCTTTTCTAATTATTTACTCAATTTATATCTATCCTTATGTTGTCCAACTGGTTTCACCTAATGATCCACCTAACGAAGAATCAGTACTCCCAACACAATAATTTTTCAATACATGACCACACACAAATGTACAAGGTTCAAAACACATAATGTGTTTTAAAGTTTATTTCTTGAAGACTCTCACATAAGAAGACTAACAAAGCACTAATTGTATGAGTACCGGTGTGTTTTTAATTTCCATGATTCATCATTTTTTTCCTTGTTGCCATTTCAAAATTTCTATGCTCCACTTAAATTCACTTTTAATATTTTGGTGACCACTATTAAATAAGAAAATTTGAAATGCTAATCAATGAAAAACCAAAAATGTGGGACCTGTAAAAGACATTTTCAACACGCGGAAATTAGAAAAATCAAAGATTAAAAAATTAAAAGGAAAGGAAACATATAAAAAGGTAATAAATGTCTTGTGAACTGATTTTTTATTTTTTTTTTAACTTGGAACCACATCTCTCATCTCGTGTTCCAAAGCTTCGAGAAATTCCATCTGCTGTTTTTATTCTCTCCTGCCTGCACTTATTCTTCTTCACGCCGTCTCATCAATTTTCACAGTTTAAAAAAAAAAAATTTAATTTTTGATATTTTTGGGTATTACTGAAGAAACACCAAACAAAGAGGCAAAAAACTCACTCACACCGATGCAGAAAGCGACAAAGGAAAAGGCGGAGAGAAAGTAAAAGCCGTCGGAAAAAAATAAACAAAGAAGAAGAAAGATCAGATTTTGTTTTGTTTTTTTCTTTTTCTTTCTGAATTGCTTCGCTTGATTGCTTCGAATCCGAATAAGTCTCATGAATTTCGAGGCCACCATGGCTGTCGGCTTCTTTATCTCCTCTGATTCTTCTTCTTCTTCTTTCCCGGAAAATCAAAGGTGTGTTCTTTATTCTCTTTCTCCCCATTTGTTCCTTGATCGTCCTCATTACAGTACTTCAATTGGATGTGCGATTCGATCTAATTTAGGGTTCTATTGTTTTAATTTCAATTGCTATTCCATTTCTTATCCTAAAATTTCGAGCTTTTCGATACTGAACTGAGTTACAATCCCCAAAGTCATCGATTTTCTCCCGGATTTGCTTTTTTGGTAGTTGGTGAGTTTTAGTTAAATGCTGAAATTGTGACTATCCTTTATCCAGAATCATTCAATTAATGTTCAAGGATTTGAGTTCTGTTCGGTATTTTAAGAAATTCATAAAATTCATAAAATTCTCAAGATTTTGATCATAAAGTTCTGATTCTGTCCATGGCAGTAACTACTGAATCATAACCGCATTAATAATGTGAATGTTTTATTTCCTGTTTATGTCATGTTTGATCCAAAAATCTTGACATCTTTGAAGATTCTAATATGTGTTCTTACTTATGGATTGTTTCCTTTTTGAAGATCATTGAGAAGCTATGAAGAAGAGCGAGATTAGGCCTGACAAGTCTCATTCACGCAAACTAAGACAAAAAATTAGAAAGATCAAAATGCAGTGTTTGTGCTCTGGTGAACAAATGAGACTCAGAGAAGAAGAAGACAAGCAAGCCGAGCTTGGCGCAGGCAGAGACTACAATGGCAGCTCAGCTTTATCAGTCGCAGAGAGCGAGAACGCCAAGAAACTAGACAATGGGAACATCGAAGAAGCCGAGTTATCTCTCCGCGAGACAAGTTCACTGAACTACGAGGTTTCATTCCCTCCATCACCATTAGAGGAAGAGCTTCCTTTCAATGCATTAGCTCATGTGTTTGTTTTTGTTGTTGTTTCAGGAGGCGAGAGCGCTTTTGGGAAGAATCGAGTATCAGAAAGGAAACATAGAGGCTGCATTGCGAGTCTTTGAAGGGATAGATATCAATGGAATCACAGTGAAGATGAAAACAGCTCTCACCGCAAAAGAAGAAAGAAAACACAGAAGACGCTCTAGAAGCAACTCTGCTGCTGCTCCTCCTCAGCCTCCAATGTCTAAACATGCTGTTAGTTTGCTCTTCGAAGCCATTTTCCTCAAAGCCAAATCTCTCCAGCGTCTCGGAAGGTTCCAAGGTACTACTAAAGAAACTCTTTCTCTTCTTCCTCTTATAATCTCATATTAAACGTGATTGTTCTTGCAGAAGCTGCGCAGTCTTGCAGGGTGATTCTTGACATAGTGGAGGCTTCTTTATCAGAAGGTGCGTCTGAAAACGTGACCGGTGATGTCAAGCTGCAGGAGACGTTAACGAAAGCTGTAGAGCTGCTTCCACAGCTGTGGAAACTCGCTGACTCGCCGCGTGATGCGATCTTGTCTTACAGAAGAGCGCTTCTCAACCACTGGAAGCTCGACGCAGAAACCACGGCGAGGATCCAGAAAGAGTACGCTGTGTTTCTTCTCTATTCCGGTGAAGAAGCTGTCCCGCCGAACCTGCGTTCTCAGACGGAAGGCTCGTTTATACCGAGGAGCAACGTGGAGGAAGCTGTTCTTCTTCTCATGTTGCTTCTCAGGAAAGTCAATCAGAAGAGAATCTTATGGGACGCAGCGATCTTGGACCATCTCTCCTTCGCTCTTACCATCGCTGGGGATTTAACCGCTTTGGCTAAGCAGTTTGAAGAGCTTAGCCCTGAGATATTGGATCAGAGGGAGCTTTACCATGCGTTGTCTCTTTGTTACAACGGTGCAGGAGAAGGTCTTGTAGCTCTCGGTTTACTGAGGAAGCTGTTTGCGGAACGGAACGATCCAAACCGGGTTTCGGATTTGCTCATGGCTTCAAAGATATGTGGTGAGAGAGCTGGTCTTGCTGAGGAAGGTCTGGATTACGCAAGAAGAGCGGTTGGGAGCTTAGGGAAGGAATGTGTTCAGTTAGACGGTGCGGCGCGTCTTGTTCTAGGGATTACACTCACGGAGAGCTCGAGAACGGCAGCGACTGAGGCGGAGAGGATGGCTAGGCAGTCGGAAGGGATTCAGGCGCTGGAGTCTGCGGATATGACGGACGCGAGAGTCGCGCACCGTCTTGCGTTGGAGAATGCAGAGCAGAGGAAGCTGGACTCGGCGTTGGTTTACGCGAAGCAGGCGTTGAAGCTCGGGGGAGAGTCTGATCTTGACGTGTGGTTGCTTCTTGCTCGGGTTTTATCTGCGCAGAAGCGGTTTCAGGACGCGGAGACGATTGTGGACGCGGCGGTTAACGAGACGGGGAAGTGGGAGCAGGGGAAGCTGCTGCGTTTAAAGGCGAAGCTTCGTTTGGCTAAAGGAGAAGTGAAGGATGCGATCAAGACTTACACGCAGCTTCTCGCTCTCCTTCAGGTGCAGAGCAAAAGCTTTAACTCTTCAAAGAAGATGCCAAAGGGATATGTGGAGGAGTTGAGGAGTCTGGAGCTTGGGACGTGGCACGATCTTGCTCATGTCTATATAGAACTTTCGCAGTGGCGTGATGCAGAGACGTGTCTCTCGAGATCAAGACTCATTGTTCCTTACTCTTCTGCTCGTTACCACAGTGAAGGTATTTGCCTTCTTTCTTCTTCTTCTTTTGAGGTTTTGTGTTGATAGGTTTATTTATCATATTAATTTGGCAGGTGTACTGTATAAGAGACAAGGACAGTTAGAAGAAGCGATGGAGGCGTTCACGACGGCGCTAGACATTGATCCGATGCACGTCCCGAGCCTGATATCGAAGGCTGAGCTTTTGCTGGAGCTTGGGAACCGATCAAGCATAGCAGTTGTGAGAAGCTTTCTAATGGAGGCTCTTAGGATTGATAGGTTGAACCAGTCGGCTTGGTACAATCTTGGAAAGATGTTCAGAGCTGAAGGATCTGTGTCGTCGCTGCAAGAAGCTGTTGAGTGTTTTCAGGCCGCCGTTACATTGGAGGAAACAATGCCAGTGGAGCCATTCAGATGATTTTTTTTTTTCCTTTTCAAATCATTTTTTTTTGTTTGTTTTTGGTTCCTCTCTCTATTTTTGTGAAGATATAAAGATGTATGTGTGGTGTCTCATTTGATGTGAAGTTTATATACGCTCTGTAATACACAGTTGAAAAGATTAATATAGGTTTTGATCAGGTAAATTCATAATGGTGTAAAGAGGGAATTTTGTTGAGGAAAACTCAGGATTTGATATTTCTAAGAAGGATTAAAAACATAAAAATGTGTATCCGTAAACTAATGAAGTTGTGAGCATTTAGATTACATTGGAATGAGGAAGATTCTCCCAAACTAAACTCTTTATTTTTGTTCTTGGGGATCTGTTCTTTTGTCTACACAGCAGAGTTGAGAGTCTTCCATCAGAAAAATAGTTAAAACAGTAGAGAGAGAGAGAGAAGTCTTGAAGACCCTCAAGATAAGAGAGCTCTCTCTCTCTCTCACTGTTAAACTCTGGAACTCTTGAAATGATCCAGTAGAAAGATTCTTTTCAATTGTCGGTTTTGGGGCGCTTTGGCTGCGGAGATTCTGGCTCCTGGCATTCTCTGGTTTCTTCTGCTGCTGGTTCCTTTGAATCCACAGTTTTCTTGTCTTCTTGTTCTGATTTGGCTGCGGAATCTGACGTTGACGCTGTTCCTTTGGCGAGACCTGAGTTTTGCTTCTCGAACATCATTTGCAGGTACTTGCCTTGTTCTTCTATACGGAGTTGCAGGTTTCTTTGAATCTGCAGGCACAAGAACAAGAACACATTTTTTTTTTATCTGAACTCAACAATCTTTAGAGTCACATTTCACATTTTCACTGTATGCAGCTTCATGAATCAAAACCAAAGGTTATAGGCAATGACTCTACGAATACAGATAATAAGAGATACCTCGAGCTGCTCATGGAGTTGCTTCTGTACTTCCATCTGAAGTCGCAGAGCCTCGGTGATGCCTATCCCGCTGCAGGATAAACATGTAGGAGGTGAGAATCAGTTAAATCAGTTTAAAATGGTGATGTTACCAGACAAACAAAACCTTACCCTTTCAATTCCAGAGATGTTATATGTTCAAGCGGTGTCAACTTCTTCTCTGGTGAACCTGTAATGCGACAAAAGAAATTGATTTGGAACTGAATTCTATGAAATTTTCAGAAAAAAATCATCAATTGAAATTAAGATAGGCAAAGATTTTGGTATCTACCAGTTTCTGATGGTTCTGGTCTATATCTAGCCGTCCTATATTTCTGCATTTCATAAAGAAAACACCATATTATATTAGAAGACATTATAATGAAAACAAATGCTGGGACGTAAAGAATAATAAGAACCTGCAAATGGCTTTTGACATGATAAATAGTCAATCCTTCAACTTTCATAATTTTCAGCACACCTTTAGGAGTAGCTCCTGCATAAGAAAGTGTTATCATATTTCCAATATGTCATAACAAAGTTTATGGAAAGCAAAAGAGAAAGAAATGCTCACTGTCACTGCCACCAAGACTGTTCACAGCCTCAACAAAAGCCTCGTGAAGCTCTGGCGTCCAACGCATACGTGCCTTCCCCGTCCCGTTATTACTGTTTGAAGACGTTGTGCTCACAGGTCGCAGCTCCACAGACACAGACGGTGAAGGGTGCTGATGAACAACAATCTGTGATTGTGGTTGTTGAATTTGCAGCGCTTTCTGGTCCTGAAACAAGTGTCTCCAGTTTAGTCTCCAGTTTTTAAACAAAATGTTGAATCAAAAGGAGAGAAGAAAAAAATAACATAAATCTGAACAAACCTTTGAATCTGAATTGGAGCTTGTTTCAAGCAAGAGATCATTCCAGTTAGTAGACATCAAAGGATCTTCATCAGTGATCAAATGATCAGCCCATTCTTGCCAGTCGTTTCGTTTATGAATATCATCAAAAGCAGCACCGATGTCGCCATCACCACCACCACCACCATCCTCAATCTGGCTGGTGTTTTGAATCGCCAGTTGGCTGTTTTCAGGGAAATCAAGAAACCCTCCTCCAGGCAAAGAATCAGGGCACCAAGAACTATCGTTGCTTGACGCCTGAGAAATGAGATGAGCGTTGTTACTGCTGCTGCTTCCTGCGTAGTGTTTCTCATGAGAGACCATTGAAGAGTAATGGAGGTTGGTGGAGAAACCGGACGATGAAGAAGAGCATATGTGTCCAACTGCTCCACCGTTACTGGAGGAAAGCAAATGGTAGGTTTGCCCTAAGGGTCTTGACATTAACTGGCTGTTGTTATCGGATCTCATGAATACATCCTCTGCTACTGCTACTGCTACTGAAGGGTTTGGTGTGGTTGGGATTGAAGAAGTGCGAGCGAGGTTAGTAGAACCTGATCTTTGAATCGGACGAGCCTCCATTGTTGTAGTCCTGCCAAAACAAAAATTGTAAAATCTCTCAATCTACTGATTTAAGGTTGTAAGAATCTGTAAAGACTAAAAGACTTAGTTTGAGAAGACTCAAAACCTTGCTAATATCTGTAAACGAAGAAGACTTGTTTGTTCTTGAAGATTCTAGTGGGTGCACCCCAAGTCGAATCATCAACTCTCGCATCTGATGCAGAGTAGAAACAGATTGATAGGTGAGAAATTGAAAAAGAAGGTGTGAAATAGTAAGCACTAAGCTCAAAAACATGCAAATTTGCAGCTTTTTTTAATCAAACGAAATGTAACGAGAAAAACTTGAAAAAATCAGCAGAGAGAGGAATCGATATGAGAAGACGCTACTGAAACATAACAAGACGATTATAATTAAATAGAACAAACATCGAGAATCATCTACAAAGCAAAAAAACACATTATCCAACCAAACATCAAATTCGCTGGAAAATTTTGAAAATAAAACGCAATCGAATCGGAATCCACCAATCAATGAACGTTTTTTTTTCAGAGAAAGCAAAGATATCAGCAATTATATGCTCGGAAGATTTCTTTCTCTCTGTAGATTGATTACCAAAACGCGAAAGAGTCGGGAAATTCTCACCTAGCAATTCATGAGAAAGTCCGGGGACCTCTAGGAGAGACGAATCGAATCCAGAAAATGAATATAAAAATCCAACTCTTGAGCGAAATCGGAGAATCCGTCTTGTTGAATGATGTCCTCAAGAGAAAGTTGACGGTGATTTTCGCTCTGTTTCGTTTTCCTCTTCCAAGGAGGAGGTGGTGGCTGTCTTAACAAGGGGATCAGCCGCCGTGCCTTCACGCGCCATGAAACTGCGCGTGATTTGACTCGCTTTGTACGGACCCACTTAATATCCACACGTGTGAGCTCTTTATTGGATGATTGGAATCATTTATTGGGCTTTGGTCTTTTTCGGTTTTTCTTTTTTCTTTTTTTTTTTATTTGTTTTTTCTTCTGGTTTCTCTGATATTTGTGGTAAAGGCCACTAAGGCCCAAAGTGACTTTTATTCATATTTTGGCAAAACAATTTCGTGTACAATCAAAATACTAATAGAGATGTTGTCATGAGTTGCTCCATCCCGTTTCAGTTCCACTCCGTTAGATGTTGTCGTTATATAGAATTATATATTTATATCTTAAGTTGGTCCAATAGATTTCATAGGTATAGGAAGAACCCCTAAGTGAGTGTAAATTGTTTTTATCAGAAATTAGATCACAATAGGAGTTAAATGAGCTACTATTAATCGTCTCATTTGAATATATGTTTTTTCATACTTATATTTGAGCAGAGGATAGAGAGAGGATAGAGAGAAAGAACATCATTGAACATCGTGTTCTTATGATTTTGTAGCCACCAGTATTGGTTAAGGAAACACGAGCAGCCACCACCAGACCTGCGTTTCCTGAAAAAGTATGCTCGCTTGTGTTGTAATTGCGCCGTATGTCATTGAACTGATCAAACTTGTTTGGTCAACCAACTTATGTTATAAGTGACTATGGCATGTGCCACATACTCTTTCTAACAGTTGTCTATAATGTAATTTTCTAATTCTACTTGATGTTGTTAAGAGAAATCAAGGTTTTAGTTACTTATTTTAATATTTTTCTTGAAACCTAAACAATATATTACATATTTGTAGGTTGAAATTTTTATTTTGATATGTTTTCTATGAGTGAAATATATACTGTCTTTATTAATTTGTTACATATTTTGTTGAAAATATATTATTCCATTTTTTTAATATGTTAGTATAATTATTTTTTAATGTCTATCTATCAATAGAAAAACATATTAAAAGCGATGTGTATCAGAAAAATATTGAAAACATAAGAAATATTTGCTCATCTTTTGCTAAATTATGTCTAAACTAATGATAAATATTTGCTCATGTTTTGCTAAATTTCAGTAAAATATTATATAAGAAAATTTAGTTATGTTTTTATCACTTAATATTTCTTTTATCTTATTATTATTAGTTGAGAATTGTTTTAAAAATGTACCTCAAACTAAATAATTTACTTGATCCTCCGTTGACCATAGCTCCTATGATGTAATGTGGGTTTGGATTCTTTGTGTCTCTATACTTCTAATAACAGAAAGAGTGACTCTCAACTTGTGATGCACTTTGTCCATTTAAAAGTAGTACAAGATTACCCTCTTTTTTGTTTCTTTTACATTCTACTCCAAAGTAAAAGAATTCCAATGATGGGGATGTTTGGAGAGTTTATGCCTTAAGGAGAAGGCAGGTTCGATTGAGCTAAACTAAGTGAATATAGAGAGAAAAAGATCGGAATGTTCTTCACATTTCTCGTAGATGGTTTAGAATCGATGATTAGATAAGCTACAAACGCAAAGGACACTATTAAACTCCTATTGTGATTGTATTAAAGTTGTTTTCTCTGCGTTATTATCTACAGATTCCATTTAAGGTCACAAATGTTAATTATTTTTCCTTTTGTCAACAAGGCTACAAATAATTATATTTGCATGTAAAACCACCAAAAAAAAAAAGCCTACAAAAGAATCAACAAGCCTAAAAAAGGCTACAAAGATTCACACCTACAGTTTACTGTTTTGTTGTGTCCACAACTTAGCGTATCTTCCTGATTTCTTCAATAACACATCATGCGTCCCTTTCTCCACCACTTTCCCTCTCTCCAACACAATGATCTCATCACACTGCATCGCAGTGGTAAGCCTGTGTGCAATGAAAACACAAGTCCTGTTACTCGCTAACGACCTGAGCGTTTTCATTATCTCTGCCTCGGTTCTACTGTCGAGCGCACTCGTTGCTTCGTCACACAACAGAATCGCAGGCGATTTAAGAAACGCACGAGCCAGTGCAACTCTTTGTTTCTCTCCACCACTCAGCATCAGCCCTCTCTCTCCAACCGATGTCAAATATTTTTCGGGGAACTTCATGATCGTATCGTGAATCGCTGCACGCCGAGCTGCATCGTACACCTCTTCCTCTGTCGCTGAAAGGTTCCCATAGTGAATGTTGTGAAATATTGTGTCGTTAAAGAGCACCTGAAAAGAATATAATGAAATAAGGACTTGAATTGGTATATGTAAGCCTATTTTTGTTTTGAGATGATATAATCTTTACTTTGTTTTCTACCAAAACAGATTATAATCAATTAAAAACATGATTTAATGTGAAATTAACTGTTCATCACATTTCACGTTAAATCTAAAGATATTTAGTTGCAATTAAGAAACACTATGGAGTGTCAAATCTCATTTCCTTGTGCTTAATGTATTTAATGTGATTAGATAACAAAAGAGTTTAAACTACTTAACTAGCTTTACCAACAAGTCCTAAGTTGTACTCTGTTAACCGGTTCTCAGAACCGGTTTAGACTAATCACAACAGAGAGAGTGTTGATAGTGAAGTGTGGCAACTTACAGTATCTTGAGGGACAACTCCAATGGAGCTACGAAGACTATCTAGTCTCACATTCTTTACATCCTGACCATCAATCTTTACATTTCCAGAATCTGCGTCAAAGAATCTGAATATCATCCTAAGAATCGTCGATTTTCCGCTACCGCTCCCACCAACAATCGCAACACTCTTCCCCGCAGGCACCTCAAACGAAACCCCATCTAAAATCTTTCTCTCCGGCAAATAACCAAAATGCACATCCTCAAACCGGATGCTTCCTCCACCTCTCAAATCAAGAAGAGGAAGCTTCGCGTCTACATCTCTATCTCCAGTCTCTGATCTCTCCTCCAGCAGTTGAAACATCGCTTTCATGTCCACAAGTCCCTGAACGGTTTCCCTATAAACCCCACCGAGAAAGTAAAGAGGAAGAGACAATTGAAAGAGAAGACCATTCACCATCACCAAATCACCAACTGTCATCTCACCACTCACAATCCCCTGAGAACACAACACCATCGCCGTCGACAAAGCTGTACTAAATATCAAACTCTGTCCGAAATCCAAAAACGCAAGACTCTTCTGAGTTCTCAAAGCAGCATCTTCGTACGTTCCAAGCAACTCATCGTACTTTCGAGCTTCGTAGTCTTCGTTGTTGAAATACTTAACCGTCTCGTAGTTGATCAGAGAATCAACGGCTCTCGTGCCGGCATCGTTATCAGCTTTGATCATAGCTTTTCTAAACTTTGTTCTCCACTGAGTCACAGCCAACGTGAAAGCTATATACGATCCAACAGAGAGAGAAGTGATCAACCCAAACACAGCTCCGAATTTGTACGCTAATATACCTGAGACCATAGCTATCTCCAAGATGGTCGGAACAACGTTGAACACCAGAGCCGAGAGGATCGTGTTGATCGCTCTGCTTCCACGATCGATGACTCTGTTCAACGCACCCGTCTCTCGGTTTAGATGGTAACGGAGGTCGAGACCGTGTAGATGCGAGAGGACTTTACGAGAGAGGGATCGTATTGTGCGGAGAGCGACTTTGGAGAAAACAGCGGTGCGTAGCTCGTTGAAAGCGGAGGAGGCGGATCGAGCGATGCCGTATCCGATGAGGACAGAGGAAGGAGTTGCGAAAGCGGCGAGGAGGTATGGGTTTGAAGAAGCGATGGAAGAAGATGATGATGAAGAGAGTGAGTCGATTGCTAGTTTGAAGAGGAAGGGAACTTGGACGTTTAGGAATTTAGCTCCGACGAGACAAGCTAAAGCGGTGATGACTCTGAAACGGAGCTCTGGGTTGTCACTCATCCATAGATAGCTGAAGATCGTGCGGAGGATCTTATCAGACGACGCCGTTTTGATTGAGTTGTGAGGTTTAGATGCGGATTTATCTGGATTTGAAGTGGAGGAGAAGAGGACGCGCGAGTTGACTCGGGAGCCAATTGGAGATGGAGATGGAGATGGATCGGAGAGGAAGGCATTGATTCTGATTGGTGTGCGAATTGAGTTGCTTCTGATGAAATTGGGTAATATGTGATGATGATGATGATGATGATGATGATGATCAGAGAGAAGACGGTAAGAAAATGAAGCGCGACAGAGGAGGAGACGAGATCCCCTCGACATCGCTTCTTGTCTGAACGAATCACATATAGATTTCTCCGGCTTGATCTTTTTTTTTGGTCACTCTATATTTTTGCTCGATCTATTGCTGAATCCAGTTTCGTACCAGAGTCAAGACGATGAAGAAGAAGAAGATATCAACTCGGAGATAACCAGTCCCGGTTCTCATTTAGATTGTGAAATTAGGATTGTTTCTTTTGGAAACCAATTTCAGAAATAACCGGGCCTGGTTTGAGGCTAGAGAGTACTAGAGTAGAGAGAATCAGATACTTACAGTGGAGCACACCGCAGGGAATCTCATTCACAATGTGGGAGCCACATGGACAACCTAACACTTTCGAAAATTCAACCCTCTTAATTAAATTGAACGGTTTATTTGGAAAGTAAAGAAGCAACGGTCGGTTATGTCTTCCCTCCAGACGACAGGGTTTTTATTCGGACACCACTAAAAATGGACAGCTAAACACTCTCTCTTTGGTTAAAAGAAATCAATTTTAAATTACGTGATTAAAGATTAGATCGCCACTTGATTAAGATAATAATATTGCTATATAGTGATGATATCTAGCTTTAAGCTGGAACTGATCGCTACCGTCCGATTAGGAAATATTGGACCAAAGGACGTGGGCACGAGTCCCCCTCTGTTCACGTGGGTCCCATGTAGCTCTCTAAGTATCCTTTTTTATAGCCGTCCGATTGGATCCCATGAAGCTGACATGTGAGCCCCCACTTTTTTTTTCTTGATTTTAATTTTTTAGTTTGAGGATATGTTTGCACAAATATTTTTGAGCTTTGATTTATTCTTTTTAATTCCAGCCTTTTTTAATGCGTTTATCAAATCCCACGGATACAACCGTTTTGATATCATTTTTCTTTTAAATCTATCTACCCTATCTTATATCAGATTTTCAATTTGAGTCAATACCAACTATAAAAACATCTGAACATTAAAAAGTGTAACACTATACTATGCATTATTCATCACATTATTGTGAGAACCTACATTATACTTATTCAAAGAATTTACAATAATTTCTTGATAATGCAATGGAATGACATTAGTCTATAAGTAGATATGGTTAGAGAGGATAAATAAAAACAGAGCTAAATTAAATTTACTCACGGGAATAAAAGTGAGTATCTCAGTTATGTTTCTGCCAACTGAAATTAATTTTTATAAATGTTTTATTTTATTTCTTTTGCATCAAAATTGATATTTTTGGCGAGAAAGGAGACTAAAAGTTAGGGAAGTAAAAAAGAGACAAATCCCACCCGTCGTGTCTTCTTGTTCATCCTTTGTTTCCCTTTTTTTTTTCTTTCTCACTGTTTTTGGCTTACTTAAAGTCGCAAACTTTGCTTCAAATTCAACCCATCTCTCATCTTCCCCCTCTGCAAATTCTCTCCCCTTAGTTATCAAATCTCCAACGACGTTAATTAATCTCTCCCAAATTCTCAGCTTCTTCTTCTGTGTCCGGATTCAAGCATGGAAGGCGGTTCCGGTTCGACTTTGTCAAACGACGAAAATCTCGTCGTCTCTTGCGAGGATTCTTCTTCTCCGGCAGAGAATGAGCTCGAGCTCGGTCTTACGTTGAGCCTCGGTCGAAAAGGTTATCGAGATTGTCGGGTTTCTTACGCTGATGATTCTTCTTCATCATCATCTTCTTCTTCTCTGAGCAGAGCTAGCGTAACTGCTGGGATCAAGAGAACAGCTGATTCCATGGCCGTAACTAGTGGGTTAGATTCTCCTCCCTTCCTCTATAGCTATTTATCCTTTAGAATCATAGCTACTCCAATTCTGGAAATGCCTTTTACATTGATTATGGTTTGTTTTAGGAGTTATCAATAGAACCATTAAAAGAGAAAATTTTGCTTTTTATGGGATTGATCAGACAGAAATGTTCTTCTATCTGGAAAAAAATTCGACCTTTATTAGGTAGATGATTTTGAATGTATCCTCTTGATCTTAGAGATATTGCATGTTACCATCGTTTTCCATAAAAGACAATCCTTTTCTTCTGGGATTGATTGTAGAGTACTTTGCTTTAGAGGGAAAGTGATTTTTCCTTTAGGATTAGAGTGGTTGGTTTTTCTGTAAAGTGATGTTCTTGCTATTGATTGTGGAGAGTTGTCTTGTCTTGATCTGCGTGTGGATAAGTTTACAAGCTTTAAAGTGTTTAAGCAGTCCTTTTTTTTGTCTTTTACGCTGTGTTGAGCTTTAGAAAATATTTGCAGGCAAGTTGTGGGATGGCCACCAATAAGGACTTACAGAATGAACAGTATGGTTAACCAAGCTAAGGCATTGACTACTGAAGATCCAAACGTGGAGATGCGTCAAGAAGTAAACAAGAATATTGTAACTGAACATGCTACAAAGATGAGGAATTCGATGTTTGTGAAGGTGACTATGGATGGCATTCCAATCGGAAGGAAAATCGATCTGAATGCTCATAAATGTTATGAATCATTGTCCAACACTCTCGAAGAAATGTTTCTGAAACCCAAAACAGGTGTGTATTTCGAATCTCATGAGCTTTTTTTAGAGTTTTCTTGGTATGAGATTGGAATGAAATGATGATTCTTTTTTTCGCAATTAGGTTCAGGCACACAAGAAACCGATGGTCATGTGAAAACACTGCTTAAGATACTACCGGATGGGTCTTCTGGATTGGTACTAACGTACGAAGACAAGGAAGGAGATTGGATGCTTGTTGGCGATGTTCCGTGGGGGTATGTATGTTCTTGTGCTTTTTATGTTGAGTCCAATGTTAAATCCAAATACTGAATTTTGAAACCGAGTCTTACTTGTGTGTCCAGGATGTTTATTGGTTCCGTGAGAAGGCTCAGGATAATGAAAACATCGGAAGCTACTGGTACAGGTACATATACTGATTCAATCAAATGCTGATATCCGTATTTATAAACTTCTTTTATTTTGTCGTTGTGACCTTGTTTTGTGTGATCCTTGTTTACAGCAAAAATGATCTTATAAAGCACATAAAAATCTACAAGAAACCCTTTTATGATTGAAGCAATAATAAGACAGATCACACAGATCAAAGAGAAGACAAAAACATTGTAAGAACCTTCTTCTTCTTCTCTTTACAGTTTTTGGCCTGGCCATTTTTTTAGCTAGTTAGTTTCATATGTTCTCTTTGTAAAAATCACACTCGACAAGCTATGACAAAAGTTACAAAACTCTGTTTTGCACACTAAACGTCTCAGAGCAATGCACAAGTTAATAAACATCTGTAAATAGTGGAAAGTTATTCTACATGGAAACAAAAAAAAAAACAAATCAAAAGGATCAAGGATCTCTCTATCTCTCTTCTACATACATAACACGAATCGAACAAATAAGTTTTCGGCCTTTTTTCTTCTTCTTAAGTCTTGTCCTAAAGAAGGCCATTTACAGGTGAAGTACTAAAAACCGATGTACGTTTCTCGGCCAAGCTACGGCTAGTGTTTTCTTCATTGCTATTGCTTTTCCTCCTCGGTTTAGCTTCTCCGAGCATCGATATCACATCTCTCATTGAAGGTCTGTCTTTAGGGAGTTTCGTGGTGCAGAGAAGAGCGATCTGTAGAACCAAAAGCATCTCTTCTTGCACATAACTGCAGTTTCCAACGTTTGGATCTAACGCTTCTTCAAGTGATACGTTGTCTCTTATCTTGTTTCTCACCCACTCCACAATGTCTACGGATTCTCCAAACTCCGGCTCCAATGGTCTTCTTCCCGTTAAAAGCTCCAACAACACGACGCCGTAGCTGTATATGTCTATCTTCTCGTCCACCTTCAATGTGTATCCGTACTCTGCAAATTTCATTCGTTTCCGGTTTGGTACACGTTAGCAAATGATTAAACCAAATTAAAATCGAACCTGGTACGGTACGGTATTTTAAGCTTACCGGGAGCTATGTAACCGTAAGAACCGGCGACCATCGAAACGGTTTCCTTCTTTCTGGCCATCATCCTGGCGAGTCCGAAATCGGCGATTCTGGCGTCGAGATTCGCGTCGAGCAAGATATTGTTTGATTTGATGTCTCTGTGGATCACCGGAGGATGACAATCGTGGTGGAGGTAGGCGAGGCCGTGAGCGACACCAAGCGCGATGTTGTAACGCGAGACCCAGTCGACGAGCAGCCTCCCGGCGGCGTTTTTGCCGTGAATCGCGTCGCCGAGGTTCCCGTTGAGCATGAATTCGTATACGATCATCATGTTTTTGTCGTTGTATAGGAATCCCAGGAGCCTGACGATGTTCCTGTGTCTCAATTTTCCCAGGAGGTTTACTTCGCCTACGAAATCGCCGGTTGTTCCATCCTCGATATCGGCGGCGGATCTCCAGAGCTTCTTCACTGCGAGCACCGTGTTGGATCGTGACATCTCCGCTTTGTATACGATTCCGGTGGCTCCCATTCCGATCATGTTCGATTCTCTGATGCAGGATAGGATATCGGAGGCTGTGAATCCTAGCCTATGAAACGCCATCAGTCTCCAAGGCCATTCGCCTTTGCTCGCCGTCTCTTCGCCGCAGAATCCGTCGGAGTACCATCTCTTGTACATAGTTCTAGTAACGATGACGAGAATCCCTAAGAAGAAAACCGATGCGATCCCAATCAACCATCCGGCCACAATTCGTTTCCCGTGGAGACTCCTGTGACCAGTTGTTTCCGCCGGGCGTTTGTTACACGGGGAAAGAACGCCGCCGCAGAGACCAGAATTTCCTCTCAGATCATCTGGATTTATGGTTCTGAGAAAGCCGTTCATAGGGACTGGGCCTGTGAGCTTGTTGTATGAGACGTTGAGGAGTTCAAGTGCCGGGGACATTCCGATGCGCTCTGGAAGTTTTCCGGTTAAGGAATTGTTAGACAGATCGAGCACGGCCAATGCGGACATCGTCGTGAGCTGCCTGGGGATTTCCCCGGTGAGATGATTGTTTCTCAGGTTGAGGCTTACGAGCTTCTCGCATGAAGCAATGCTGGACGGGATAGTGCCTGTGAAACTGTTTGATGAGAGATCGAGACCTGAGAGCGAAGGACAATCCTGGAACTGGTCCGGAATTTCGCCGGAGAGAAAGTTATCGGCGACCAAAAACGCCTGCAGGTTATGAATCGAGAGGATCGTTGAAGGGAGGGATGATCGGATCTGGTTTCTGGAGAAATCAATGAAAGAAAGCGAAACCGAATCGGAGATATCTCCCGGAACCCCTCCGCTGAGACGATTTCCGGCTAGTTCGAGCCTCTGTAGCTTCTCAAGCTTGCCGAAGCCTATTGGAATCGAACCGTTGAGATGGTTGTTCTGCATCCTGACACGTACTAGCGACTGGCAGGTGGTTAGAGTCGACGGAATCTGGCCGGAGAAGGTGTTGTTGAACAGAATGAGCTTGGTTAGATTTCCCTTGCTGCACAGGGTCGAAGGAATCTCGCCGGAGAAGGAGTTTGAAGAGACGTCAAGCCATTGTAACGGAGAATTCTTCCCGAGATCGCTTGGCAGCTCGCCGGAGAACGTGTTGTTCCAGAGCTCGAGGACTTGTAACTGAGCCAGATTGCTGATCGCGGGAGGAATAGAGCCGGAGAGTCTGTTGCGCATAAGGTTAAGTAGCTGCAGGTTCTTCAGCTCCGTGATCTCCACTGGAATCTCGCCGGATAACGCGTTGTCGGAGAGATCAAGAACCTTTAGAGTGGAAATGTTTCCGATCTCTGGTGGAATTTCGCCGGTGAAGTTGTTCTGGTACACGAGAAGCGTCTCGAGTGACTTGAGCTTCCCTAGCTCCGACGGAATCTCACCGCTAAGCTTCCCGATGGCCAAATCAAGGTACTTGAGGCTGTTGATGTTCCCAAATTCCGGCGGAATCGAGCCTTCGAATTCGTTGTACCCAAGAATGGCGCTTTCAAGTGAAGAGAGCTCACCGAGAACGCTTGGTAACTCTCCGGTGAGATTGTTTCCGGATAATCCGAGGAATCTCAGCTTCTGTAGATTCTTGAATGAGCTTGGAAGTGACCCTTGAAAGAAATTGCCCCGGAGATCAAGAACTTCTAAAGAGACTAAGTTCCCGAGATCCTCCGTGAGATTTCCAGAGAGATTGTTACCTGAAGCATTGAGGTGAACGAGTCCGAATGATTCGTTACCAAATAGAAAAAGACTCCCTGAGAATGAATTCTGGCTAATGTCTATAGATTTCAACGGAGGGAGCGATTTCGGGAGCAGGGACTCGAATCCGTTGCATGAGATGTTGAACGAGGCAAGGCTTCTCAGCTGTCTGATCGAATCAGAGATTTTGCCAGTGAGATTCATTCCCGAGAGGTCAAGCTTCTCAACATTGCCGTGGGAGTTGCACCAAACACCGGTCCAGTTACAGTGATCGTTGGTTTCTGGAAGCTTCCAGTCTTTGAGAAAGTTGAGAGGATCAATGAGAGTTGATTTCACGGAAAGCAAAACGGAGAGCTCGCTGCCATTGTCGATGGAAGCTGAAACAGAGGATGTATAACCAATGTAACAGTAACAGAGGAAGAGAACCATAATCTTCATCTTCACCTTCTTCCTCTATCTCAGCAGCTTCCACTGAAACTTGTTTCTTTAGTTCATTACAAAGAACAAGACAAGTGAACATGCAAGGAGGTGGAGGAAGAAGAAGAGTAGAATAAGAAACTCGGTAAGTATATGGTTGCTACTGTATATATATGTTACATATATAAAATGAATCTTGGTTTTATGTGGATCTAGTGATCAAAGGGGTTAAATGTTCTAAGAAAAAAAAAATATAACAAGATCTTGGAGCTATTTGAGAAATTTCACAACTGAACATGTGAAGAGAGAATGTGTTTTTACAATTACAACTAATCCAAAAGTGTGTTCGGTGTTTTTTTAATTATAAAAGTCAACTATGATTTGCTGTATAGAAGTTATGAATGTGCAATAGTCCATATAACTAAACATAAACATTATTTTGATACATATCACATATGTACATATGTACAGTGTACTTGTGTGTGTGTGCCATAGATAGCTTATGCTTAACTTCATTCCATTTCAGCTTTTGTAGAATGTCTTTCTTTAGTTTATCGCCTTTTTCTTTTTGTGTCTTTTAATGCTTGCCTTCAAAGGAAATTTCTTTATCGAAAATACTATTTATAACACTGCATAAAGTTCCAGATTTCCGAAAGATAGATATAAGTACGCAGAATTTATGTATATCAATACATTCATCATACATGTTCCACATATTAATCCGAATATGATATACACAATATTGTCTATTGTACGTAGGATGTAGGTAGGCAATGTAGCCACCGAGGTGAACGTTCTGGGGATCAGAATGGGTGAAATGCACATGTGATGGAGATGAATAGATTATGATCTCCATTACCTTTCTCTACATATTTAATTTCAGAGAGGTCCAAATTATTACACTGATAATTAATTATCTCAGCAATAATGAAGATGATCCCACGATCGACCTCACGTTTCGATCTCTTCTTACCCTTTTTGAATTTGGTAAAGTTTCTTTCTAGTTTCTACCATTCTACGTGCTAGTTAATAAAAAATAAAATCAAACCCACCTCATTGCCATTATATGTAAAAAAAAAGTTCTTTTATTCAATCTAAGTTAACTACCATGATGCATGATATATATATATGAATATTATAATGTATGCCACTGCAGAGAGTGCAGGCTTGTTACTGTTCCTTCGTTTGCATGATTGAGTAGATAAGAATCTTTCCATGTTACAGGTTTCAATAAATATGGTATTGTAAATGTATTTAATAATATAAGTTTAGTAATAACGGGATATATAAAATAAACAAATCCAATTTTGCTTCCATTGTATCGCCAGGACTTTGTAAATTTGTTGATCATATCGGTGAAATGAAGTTTTAAAAGAAAAATACACAAAATCAAGCTGGATTGGTAATCACTTATCAGTACTTGTTTATATCTTCTTGACCCCTCCTTTATAATCTTTGTTTGACGTATTTACAAACGAAACTAGACACTAGCTATACATGAGTGTATGGATAAATTTTCCGTAATTAAAGTGCTAATCTCATTAACTTCTTTAAATGTATATATAACAATAACGCTAATTTCATAAACTTTCTGCCTAATATCTAAAAGTGTGAATACACATCCTACTTTATAGTTTATACCCAAATCCAACGACTTTGAGGTAAAGGAAGAAAAAGTAAAAATGAAAACGGAATATAAAAAAGTACACCAAAAGAGAGAGTATAAAACTCTTTAGTCTTACTATTTATCTATATAGCATAGCCAAACCGTTCTTAGTTATCATATTTAAACTTTCGATATCACAGAAAAGCTTGTAATTCGAACAACCGTATTAACCACAACTCTACAGAACCATAAACGGTTTTATAACCAAATACTTATTTATCTTTTAGAGAAAAAAAAAGTAAACTACAAATACATTTTCAGGCCGGTAAATTCAAAAAAAGTTACTGGATTATATATTTAGAGAACATGGCAGAGAAATGCTCACGCATATTCATCAATCAATAATTATTGTAATACTCCAACAATTACCCACTCCTCTTACTGATTTCATGTTTCCATCCTTCTGATTACAATATACAGAAATTGTTGCCTTCACATGCACTCATGTGGGCCGCTCTTTCATGTTTTTTCCCTTTCTTTCTTATTATTTGTATATATTTGTAATTTAAGAAAACATTCCTAACCTCGTAGTTAAATTCTTCATTTGCTTATCATTTCGATCGTTGGATAAATAACTAAAGTACTACGATTATCTACTAACTGATTAATGGTATATAGGAGTATAATACACTTTTAGTTTCAGTTTTGAAAATTTAGCCTGATATGAACTAAAAAGAAAAGTTTGGTCTACACAATAAAAATATTATACTAATCAAGAACAACCCAAAAACTCAAGTATTTGGATGGCTACGGTAAGGTGTCGATTTGACATTCGAGATGTATAGATAGATCAATAAAGAAGTATTTACAAGGGGGTTCACGGCTTAATGGGATGCATGTGGATCAGTACCTTAAGTCCTTAACCACATACTTTATTACTATTAGTTTTGTGTTATTAGAGAGAGAAACCTAATCCCACAATGTCCATAAACTCTTTGCAAATGGTGTTTTGTGGGTTTTAATAATATCAGTAACATATATGCTAATTAATTTAACAAGTATGCTGACGGGGTTTCTCACATGGCCATAGGATTCGTTATGGCATCATTCACAGACTTGAGTCCAGCTTTTTCCTACGATCTGCACTGCACGCATGTGCCACGTGTGCTTCATGTAGATCACTCTGAGTCAGCAAGAGACTCTCTCACCAAAGCCAAAATGGCCTTATTAACTGAACTGATATTGGGCTCAATGTTTAAAGCCCATATACGAGTCGATGAGAGTATCATCCAAAGGAACGGCTTCGGTGGTGACACGTCACGATTCTCCCGCCACCACACCAGAGCTTTTGCTTCATCTCCTTCCTCCTCCACTCTCCTGTGTCTTTAATCTCCTCGCGTACACAGACAACACCAAAATGGCTTGTTTTCGTTCGATAGGGTCTTTACCTTCTTTCACTCAATCTCCTCGAGATGTCTCACGCTCAGGTACTCTTTCGTCTCTTCCTTCTTCCTCGAAATCCCTAAATTTTGGCAATTGAGTCTTGGAATTCGCAGTGGAACCTTCGTGTTGCATGTAGGTTGATTATGTGTTTCTCTGGAACCATTTCGTGTAATTTACGGTAAAATGCTGATTCCGAAACTGTAACGAGCAATAGTCTCGCTCTAAATCGATTTTGAGCAGTAATTTCGCACTAAATCGAGTAGCTGTAATCTGATCAATATTACACAGTGAAAATGTTTTCTGGATAATTGGGGATTTAGGGTTCTTATATCTGATTTTTCGCAGGCATTGTCTTGTCTCCATGCTCTGTTCGTCCCATCGCTCACTCCTCCTTCACCGGCTCTCCCATCTCCCTCCCGCGGCTCCAACAACCAGCTCAAACAACCTTAAGACCGCGAAAATCCGTCTCAGTCACGATGATGGTGAAGCCGGTGCTCCAATTCATCCAAGGCACGGACGAGATGACGATCCCTGACGTGAAACTGACTCGGTCAAGAGACGGAAGCAACGGAATGGCGCTCTTTTCTTTCGACCAGCCGTCGGTTTTCGACTCGAGCGGCGAGGTCGGGGAGATAACCGGCCTGTACATGATCGATGAGGAAGGTGTGATTCAGTCGACCGATGTGAACGCGAGGTTCGTGAACGGCAAACCGGAAGGGATTGTGGCCAAGCACATTATGCGGAGTCCTAAAGAATGGGACAGGTTCATGAGGTTCATGGAGCGTTACTCTGACCAGAACGGCTTGCAATTCGTTAAGAAGCAATGAGGTTTTGAGACTTTTTCTTTGATCAAAAGAAAGTGTATGTGTTTGCATTCAAATTTTCACTCTTTTTGATCTTTAACTTGAGTTATATAAAATTCCCATTGTGAAATTGCTTGTACTCTCGTGCATAACCGTGACTTTTGTTCAATCCGTTTAAACCAAAACTGTGTCAATCACTCAACCTATAGAGGTAACCGGAATAAAAACTACACAATTGTAACCAATAATACTTAACCAAACATAACTATATCCGGTTTAGGTTGATTACTCCGGTATATGCTATTTATAGGGAAGGGCGGTTTAGGAGGGAGATTATTATGGAGAGAGACATCATCGTCGTCCCTCTCTCACCATGAAATCGAAGAAATGGTGTCGACGTTAATCTCTTCTTTAGCCGTTCTCTTGCCGTTTACGTTGTTAGCTCCGTCAATTTCATCGAGAACCTCTCGAATCGACGTCGTCGGCTGGACTTGCAACAACGGAACGGTCTCCGACGATGAGGCTTACCGGAGATCTTATAAGGCCAATCTCGACGGGATTAGAAATGATATGAGGACGGTCAAGTTTGGGACTCATGAACACGGAGATCCTCCGCAGAGGATGTACCTTCTGTCGCAGTGTGCTAGCGATCTCTCCTCCGACGAATGCAATCTCTGTTGGTCTCACGCCACCGATCTCCTCCTCTCTCAATGTTTCCCGGCCACCGGCGGTCGGTATTACCTCGACGGTTGTTTCGTCAGGGCTGATAATTACAGCTTCTATCGCGAGCCTATCACTCATCAGGACGCCAAGGTTTTCTTCTTCTTCCTTCGATTTTCTCCGTGAATTAGATTGTTAGGTTTTGATCAAATTGGTCAAATCCATGCTTCAGTTCAGCTCAATCTTAGCTAATACAGAGCTTAGAACATAGAATTTAGCGTGGATTTCAATTTCTGAGAAAATCAACTAAGATTACCATTTTGGGACTTCAGATTTGTGCTAGTGGCAAGGAATCGTCTGCGGAATTCAATGGATTAGTAAAGGAAGTGACCGAATCGATTGCTGAGACGGCTCCATACAGTCAAGGTTTCTCGGTGGCTCGAAAGAGCAGCCAAAACAATGTAACGGCTTACGGGTTGGGATTATGCTGGAGAACGCTGGACGAGGATTTGTGCAAATTATGCTTAGCAGATGGAGCTTTATCGCTCTCTAGCTGCTTGCCATCGCACGAAGGCTTCGCCTTGAATGCAGGCTGCTACTTTCGTTACTCTAACTATACTTTCTACGACGAACGTGGACTGCTTTCTATGAGTATGTCTCTGTGTCCTCCTGCCTCTTGTGGAGAACAAAATTGTTTATGATCATAAGAATTTTGTTGTTGTTCGTTTGTAGATTTTACGAAAGAACACATTGGGCATATACTGTTTATTTCTATGGTGGGTGTGATGGCTATAGCAGTAGGATTTTGGTGTGGGAAATGCATCTATTTGCGAGCTAGTCCAAAGAGGAAGCTTAAAGGTAATTTTCCTCGTTTTGGAACTGATTAAAGACTATGTGCTCATAGGAACTAAGATCTAAAAAAGTTTCACTTGTTTGGACATCTAAGGATAGAGAAGGAGTCACAGTCTGTGCGTAATAGCTCACACTTGATGAGCTTTAAGCATTCGACTCTTGGAAAAGCAACCAACAACTTCAATGAGAGTTGCAAGCTTGGTGTTGGAGGTTATGGTGAAGTCTTCAAGGTTTCTCTCTTCTCTGTATATGTAATGTATATCCTTCTCTGCGTTTTACCACTATCTCAGTTGATATGAAAAGCCTGGATTGTGTTTTTGATAGGGAACTCTGTCTGACGGTAGAGAAATAGCTATAAAACGGCTGCATATAACAGGAAAGAAGCCACGGGAGGAGATTCATAATGAAATCGATGTAATTAGCAGATACCAACACAAGAACTTGGTCCGGCTCTTGGGTTGCTGCTTCACTAACATGAATAGTTTCCTTATCTATGAGTTCCTTGCCAATACAAGCCTCGATCACATCTTATTTGGTAAGATCCCTTCTACAGATCACGCTTGTTTCAACAGTGCTTATATTCTACACTGTCTGCAAAATTTATATACTTTTTCTTTGTTGTTGAAGACCCGGAGAAGAAGAAAGAGCTCGACTGGAAGAAGAGACGGACGATAATATTAGGAACAGCAGAAGGTTTGGAGTATCTCCACGAAGTTTGCAGGATCATTCATAGAGATATCAAAGCAAGCAACATTCTGTTGGACCTAAAGTACAAACCCAAAATATCAGACTTTGGATTAGCCAAGTTTTATCCAGAAGGTGGCAGAGACAACCCTTCTTCCTCTCCTTCTCCTTCTTCCATTGCCGGCACGCTGTAAGTTATTTCAACACAAAGAACATAACAGAGGTCATACTGGTTTATTTTTTAGGATTTGAAAAAAATGGAATTTTCCGGTTTGTTTACAGAGGATACATGGCTCCTGAGTACATAAGCAAGGGAAGACTCAGCAACAAAATCGACGCGTACAGCTTTGGAGTCCTTGTTCTCGAGATAACCAGCGGTTTTCGAAACAACAAATTCCGGTCTGATAACTCCCTTGAAACCTTAGTTACTCAAGTGAGTCTCTCCCATCCTTTGACATCAATTTTCAAACTCCTTAGCTCCACCGAGTTACTTAGCTTCGTTACCCATTTTTTCATGAGCAGGTGTGGAAGTGTTATGCTGCAGACAAGATGGAGGAGATGATAGACAAAGATATGGAAGAAGAGACAGATAAGAGTGAAGTGAAGAGAGTAATGCAGATTGGTTTGTTGTGCACACAAGAGTCTCCACAGCTTCGTCCAACCATGTCTAAGGTAATACAATTGGTTAATTCTACAGATCTTGAATTGCCTACTCCTACTAAACCACCTTATCTTCATGATTCCATGTAAAAAATCATTTACTGTATAAATCCTCACTTTCTTATTGTTCATAATAAACACACTTCAAAAAACGAAAAAAGAATAACAACAAAAAAGTCATTTTGTATGTCATATATTCCTTTTTTACTCTATCTCTAAATCTTGTAGAAAGTTTCAATACAGAAATCTCAGTCGTCATCAAACATTCTTGTATTCATTCACGTTTATCTAGCTTTGGATGGCTTCATGAAACTGCAAACTGAAAACACTGATCACAAGAAGGATGATGTATACAATTATTTAACCAAACAATGATTAAAAGGAAGACCTTGAAAACAAATAATGGAATGGACCAATTTGCTGAAGCACATGAATCATATAACAGAATTTAGAGTAAAGACAAGAGAGTAGTGGCTATTGTTTTTTTCTCTTTAAAAAAAAAAAAAAAACTTACTAAAAACTTGCAAGTTAGTTTTCTATTTGAAGTACACAAATCACAAACAATGCATTGGGTTCGGAATGAATGAAGAAACGAAGACATGATTAGTAAACAAATCTGATCAATATCTAAACAATCTGAAATCGCAAGTACCAATCAGCCAAACGAAAAAGATATACATTATTCTTCCCTTCTTGTAAACTACTAAAGAATATCGATGTAAGTACGTATTTAATCATGTTAATGTTTGTAAATGAAGCTATCGTAATCGTTGATAGCTTTGATTCTCGACACTTTGTTATGTTTATTCGCTCCAGAGTTTAAACATAACCCTTATGATACAAAAAGCAAAGAACTAGAAAGATTAAAAATTCAGTGAAACTTTTATTTTGAATCATTAATAGATTTGGGACGATGTGGTTTATATAAAAGTTCGACATATATCTATTTCCACGAGAGTTTAGCAAATAGTTTAGTGTACTAACAAACCCGGGACAATTAGCCAAATCAGTACGACCGACAGGGTTGCAAGATCTGAATCATCAGATCATGTCCTTCCATAATTATTGTTGGCATCATCATTCACATCAAGCAGGCAATATCTGAATCATCAAATCATGTCCTTCCAAAATTATTTTTGACTTCATCATCACATCAAAGCCAGTATACTGGTCCCACGCAAGATTATTGATTTAACCAGCATCCTAGTTAAGGTATATGTTCACTTTCTATTAGCACATTGCCACATTCACATTTTGAGGTGGCCCCTATTACCAAAAACAATAACAAAATGTTATCTTTTATATAAAAAATATAACGTAAAAGAAACATTTGTAATTATGGGAAACAAAAATTAAAATCTGAATTCTAATAAAATGAATGATTTTTCTAGAAAGAAAGTTTTTTCTAATTAGGGAAATTGCATGACGAAATTCAGACTAATCCCCATATTTTAGATGGTCTACAAATGGTCAACAATGATTAAATCACATTGGAAGGATTTGAAATATGGTCTCTAACTAACAAAGTGGATCTTCAACTATTAGACCATCGTTATACGGGAAAATACACGGCAATCTTATGTTGCGGCAAGAGAACCAACTTAATTACGAGATTTTATTACAATGGAAAAACCAATTACCTCTGTGTAATTGTTCTTGACTTCTTTTGTTTGTTTCTGGTTGTTTCTAATTATTACTCTGTTTTTCTATGTTCAGTTTTTAGAGCTTTTGAACCCGATTGCATCAATAAATCTTCAGTGTTAGAAATTTTTTTATAGTACGCGGAAACAGAAAAGTGGTAGTTCAATAATATCGAGATGGGTCTCACACTCTCACTATATAGCCATGAAAACAAAAAGAAACAGAAAAAGTGGTTGAAGTGCTCTAAATACAGCCAGCCCATTATGACGCCTCTCGTTGGCCGATCATGATAAATGAAGAAATCTGAAGATGGGCACACGAGCTCACGTGGTCTCTCTCTAATTGCAATTCCCAAAAAAACAGTATCTAGACAAGAGCACATACTGTACCAAACTTATAAAAAGAAACACAAATAAAACGTGTTTACTGAATTTTGTGAAAAAATCGAATATCCTTACCTGAAAAGTAGAGAAGAAGAAAAAAATAACTAATTTTATGTGTCAAGAGGAAAGGTCTTAAGAAAAGTTAAAGTACAGATACATTTGTGGCTTCAAATCATTATAAGGTATATGTAGTTTTACCGGAGCCAGAGAACAAGTCCGGCGACAACAATAGTAGAGGCAGATGGAGGTGTACCTCAAACCTATATAATTATTTGTTTAACGTTCAAATTATGTTAGAAAACTATATAACTATACCTACTAGATGAAGTAAACACAAACTCGTTATGTTGAAGAAAAACGTTGCAATTTTTTTATTGCATGATATATATCAATGAGAAAGTCAACATAATTTGTGTTCCAAGTCCATTTTCTTAATGTGTCATTGTATCATAAGTTAGTGGTTTATGTTGCATTGGAGAGTAAGGTGATCCCACCAACATTATGTTATGTACTGGTTGTTATTTGTGAAAGATTACTTTCGTATACTATTTCCAACAGTATACTGCCCATAGTTTTTATTTTTTACTAGAAATTCGTTGAGAAGGCAGTTTTCAAATTTGTACATTTTCATGTAGGCAATTCATTTATGGGGGAGGTGGTTACATAGATATCATTAGTGTTTTAGGTGCATGGTGATTTATACAGATAAAGAATATGGCGCGATGAATAGTTTGCTCACTTGCTGTGAATAATAGTAAGTATATCGATCTAAAATTCATCTTTTCTTCCAAGAAAAAACAACTATCTATAATAATAACATTAACGACATTTATAAGTAACCATCTGTTTGCTTTTGTTGCAAAAAAGAAAAAGAATGATAATGAACCATCTGTTACACTTTGATTATTATTCTACCGGCCACGTATCGGTTCTACCACTCTTTGTGGTGCTTGACCACATGGTAATACCATAATGTAACTCATGAGTCATGATGACAAAAATACATAATGTTTTAAGGTACCGATTCTAGGTGATTTTTATTTTATTTATAGTTCATGCTATTCAACTAAATATTTATAAATATCTTTTCAACATATATGTTCAAATCAATCAAATTCACTTTTATTCAACACTAAACAACTATTTATGTAAAATACTTGTGAAAAGGATTTTAAAAGATTTCAATCTCATTTTCAGTTAAAAATAGTAGCCAAGAAAACCATACCTCTATAAGAATGATTTAGATAAGTTTTTTTTAATGATAAATCCTCCAAATTTTTTAATCCCACCAAATTGACCTATAATCCGACGAAGACATTTTTCTAAATCCTTTAAATCCCACCAACATCTTTCAAGATCACCTAAACACAAAATCACCTAGAATCACCTAAAATCCATACTCCAATACACCCCCCTTAATATGTTGGCTCTTTTTATTAAAAACAAAATTAACCATAAATGCGAGAATGAACAAAAAGTTATCTAAAGAAAAAGCAAGACTGGCTTGTTATGCTATATAGACCCTCAGAGCTGAGACCATTTCCACATACAATTTACAAAGCTAACGTAAACACACATTCTTACAACGCTTGCCGATAACATTCGAGATGTAAGCATCTTCTTTCATCTCTGCCATTTTCTATGGAAAATCAAAGTGTTTAAAGACGTTATATGTTTGAACAAATAAGGACATAAGACATATTTCATATATAACTTAATGTGTTCTAATGTATGCATATACATATTTTATTCCCATTAGAAAAAAATACTTTATAATGTAACACATGCATGACAGGGAATACGGTAACGGCAATGGTATCGGTCACGACAACGCCATCGGCAAAGGCCACAGCAACGGCAACAGCCACCCAATCGGCAACGGTAACGGCATTAGTAACTTCTTGAACGGTTTTGCCAACGGTAACGACATCGGAAACGGACTTGGCAACGGCCATGGCATGGGCAATGGGCATAGCAATGACAACGGCAACGTTAATGGGAACGGAGCGAAGGGGAAAAAGATGAAACCAATGGAAAGTGAGGTGCTGAGAGAGCAAGGTCACATAATGGTTGATTTTATTGCTGATTATTACAAAAACCTTGAAGACTCCCCTCAGGATTTCCCTGTTCTTTCCCAAGTTCAGGTTCGTTCTCTACTTCTCTTCTCTCTTTTCCTGTTTATAACAATACATATTTAGAGATTTTTTTACGACATATATATAACTCTGTTTCTATATTGTTTTTTTTTTTTATGTATGTCTAAATATTTAATTATGTGGTACCCTTAACTTATTTGTCGCAGCCCGGTTATCTTCGTGACATGTTGCCTGATTCAGCACCTGACCACCCTGAAACGTTGAAAGAACTTCTCGACGGTAAGGAAATCGTACTTGTCTTTTCCTTTTCGCGTTTAACGTAACATGCACGTGCAAACCAGTTTATATACTAATTATTAATTAACTGGATAATTTTTTTATTTTGTCATTATTTATAGACGTTTCGAAGAAGATAATACCGGGGATAACTCATTGGCAAAGCCCGGGTTACTTTGCGTACTATGCATCAAGCACGAGTGTGGCCGGATTCTTGGGGGAGATGCTCAACGCCGGCCTGAGCGTCGTCGGTTTCACATGGCTCACTTCTCCGGCCGCCACTGAGCTCGAAGTCATTGTTCTTGATTGGCTTGCCAAATTGCTCCAACTCCCCAACGATTTTCTCTCCACAGGTTCTTGATTAATTCAACCCTATTTTTACTTGATTGGTGGAAACAGTGCTTAAAATTGAAAGAGACCACACACGCATCAGTCGAGTTTAATCGACGAAAATAACTAAACTTGACGTGCTTTTATAAGTAGCTTATTTTTATAGTGTAAACTTCTTTCATCAATACAAGATTTCAGCCAAAAAAAAAACTGTAGGACCCATAGATATCTATACCAATAATGGACTTTACCGTATTATTATTTATTACAGACTATCTAAAACTAGGTAGTTGATAGTTAAGCGGTCTTATGTTTTTCTGCCTGATTTAAGTTTTATGGACAGAGCATGCAATTGTGACCATATGCATCAATAGTAATAACATGGCATTTAATATATCCTGATTTAATAATAACCATGCATGAATAAAAAAAGGGAATGGAGGAGGAGTGATACAAGGGACAGGATGTGAAGCAGTGCTTGTGGTAGTATTAGCTGCTAGAGATAAAATTTTGAAGAAAGTCGGCAAAACTTCACTTCCTCGACTTGTTGTCTATGCAACCGACCAAACCCATTCTAGTTTCCGAAAGGCTTGTCTGGTTCGTTTAATATTAAGTTGACATTTTCAAATATCAATTAAGTGGTTAATTAACTATATAATGTTAGTTAATAATACATTAATTTGTAAGGATTTTTCTTTCTAATAGATTGCTGGAGTACATGAAGAAAACATTAGGCTGCTCAAAACAGATGCTTCCACGAACTATGGAATGCCTCCAGAATCACTTGAAGAAGCTATTTCTAGTGACCTCGCTCACGGATTTATCCCTTTCTTCATCTTGGCTACTGTAATTACTTTAAAACACAATTGACAGTGTTAAATATATTTATTACTCCTAATTAATTAATAATTATGATTTCTTTTTTTTCTTTGCCACAATATTAGGTTTTGCATTGTCAAAAATATTAGAAACTGTAGACATTTACAGCTATTTATTAAGTATTTATTAATGTTCATTGCTAAATATATAAGTGTGGGTTTTTCAGGTTGGCACAACTTCTTCAGCTGCAGTTGATCCTTTGGTCCCATTGGGTAAAACCGCAAAGGTAACTAAAACACTTATTCCCTCCATTTCAAAATACTTGTCATTCTAGCCTTATTTTTTTTATTCAAAATAGTTGTCGTTTTCACTTTCCAATGCAAAATTTAATATTAAATACATAATTTAACCTTAATCTAATGAAGAATACTAATAGTCAATTTGTTTTCTAAGGGTATAATAGAGTTTTTAATCTATTTTATTAATCTGCGTGAAATTTCCTAGAACGACAAGTAATAAGAAACGGAGGGAGTAGTAAATTATTAGATCCTTAATTAGTTATAATTTGATTTTAAGAAAAATTAATTCGGTGCTATTGTGTAGAGCTACGGGATATGGATGCACGTGGATGCAGCTTATGCGGGGAGTGCATGTATATGCCCAGAATTTCGCAAATTCATTGACGGAATTGAAAACGCAGACTCCATGAACATCAATGCTCATAAATGGTTATTTGCTAATCAAACTTGTTCACCACTTTGGGTTAAGGTGTGTGTGTGTGTCTCCTTTTTGATCTCTTCTTTCATTTGTAGACTACTAATTAATTGATTTAATTCATTTTCTGTCAGTTTATTTGTATATTACGTCAATTTTTTTTTTTTAATCAAACAGGATAAATACTCTCTTATTGATGCTCTCAAAACAAATCCCGAATATCTGGAGTACAAGGTAAAAGTCTCCTATGTTCGTCATTTGATTTGATTGCAAAGCTGATATAATCATTTAATTACTTAGCTAGAAGTATATATAAAACTATCATAAAAACTGATAAGATAATGGATACATCAGGTTCCCAAGAGAGATGAGGTCGTAAACTTTAAAGATTGGCAAATTTCTCTCTCTCGGAGATTTAGGTTCGTCATACAGTTGATGTTTACAGTTGATGTTTTATCTATTTTCCTAAAACTATATCAATTTATATATATGTGGTATTCACGAAATTTTTATTTATACAGATCGTTGAAGTTGTGGATGGTTTTACGGCTGTATGGATCCGAGAACTTGAGAGACTTCATAAGAGACCATGTCAATCTCGCCAAGAAGTTCGAAGATTATGTAGCTCAGGATCAACGTTTTGAGGTAATATACAAAATTCATATGATAAACAAAACTTACAAGTTAGAACAAAACAAACCGTGTCATCTTTACGTTTCTTCTAACCATATATTACTAACCACTATTAATTTGTTGTTTCTCTTATAAATATACTAAAGGTTGTCACGACTCGTTACTTTTCACTCGTTTGCTTTCGCCTTGCGCCTGTCGGCGGTGATGAAGACACGTGTAACGAACATAACCGTGAACTGCTTGCCACGGTTAACTCCACCGGCAAAATCTTCATCTCACACACGGTGAGTTAGTTTGTTTCCCTATATATAATTAATTTTGTTGAAAGTGCTTGCTTTAACAAGAAACTAATTGATGATTTTTTATGTTTACCAAATTATTGTCAACAGGCACTGTCGGGAAAGTTCATTTTACGATTTGCTGTTGGTGCACCGTTGACGGAGGAGAGGCACGTCACTGAAGCATGGCAAACTATAAAGAAGCTTGCCTCCAAATTCAACCGCAACGGCAATTATTGAGAATATTCATAAAAAAATCTATCTATCTTTTTTATATATTTTTTCGCTCAATAAGGTCCCTCTCTATCCAACTTCATCCAAATGAAGGGACCATAAATTTTTATTTTATGTTTGTTTATGACTTTATGGTATTTTTTTTTTTACTAAATTATAAGGCTTTCGTGTTGTAATTTTCCAAAGTTTTATCGTTATAAAGTGTATCTTGTACTCAACAATTTATATCATGTGTCTACTAGACTCAGCTCTAGAATCATTATCCAAAATGTGGACTTCAATAGTGAAAACGCTTTAAACACATAATACTAATTATGCAGTTCATTAATGAAAAACTAAAGTTTCTGATTAATATAAAGTATAAACTGAAGATGCAATAAAAAAAAATTCGGAACAATTGAAGCATACATATACAAATTATATGTTTACCAGAATCTATTATTAAGTGAAATACTTTACACTTTACGTAGAAAATAGAAAATATTTTTTCATACCGTACGATTCGTACGGATGCTACGAGAATCTCTCCATATCCAGTTTTTCGAAAACCGGATTGAAAATATATTTTATTGGATTTGGGCCAGGCCTAATTAAATTAACATTGTTTTCTAATTGCCTTTGTTCTCCGATTCCAAAAATTCCAAACCCTAATTCAGTTTTTCAATACCTGCGCCTGCTAACTTTTAATGATTTTCCGTGTAGCAAAATTTCCGGGAAAATCCTGAGGTTGAAGGAAACGAGATTCCTTCTTAATGTTTCGTTCGAGTTACTAGATTCGTTCTCTCTCGCAAACATTCATTCCGAATTAATTTATCTCCTTCTCTACTTCGAGTTCCGATTGGATTCCCCCGTTGATTCGAGAAGATTCTGTTCGAAATTCCGATGAGTCATATCGTTTATCTCAGTTCAGACGACGACGAGGCTGATAAACCAGTAGACGCTGAAGGTGTCTCCGATGAGAAGAAACACAAGAGCAAAAAAAGAAAGAAAACCAAGACCACTGGCCACCGGAAATCAAATTCGAAGGTGAAGAATGAAGATGGAGACGACGACGACGACGATTGTGTGGTCTTAGATTGTGATCCTTACCAGACGACGGAGAAGGAGACTACAACTGACACGTGTGCAACCGATGAAGTGCTTGTAGTTGGCCAAAAGGGTGAGGTAAAATTTTCCCTCTTTAATCTCTTGCAAACTTCATCCTAATTTTGTTACTTTAGAGAAACTGTATGCTCTAATTTTGATTTGACTAAATCAAGTTTGTTAGTTTCACCAGTAGACGAACTTCAACATTGAACTCTTCTATTGCATAGAGAGAATTAAGTTTCCATATATTGCAGAAACTGAGAACTGAGAATAGGAATTAGTCAGAGTTTTGAATATCATCAAAATTGGTTTGGCTCTGTTTTGTAGATAGCTTGTAGAGACTTCCCACATCCGCGACATGCTTGTGCTAAGTACCCATTCAACACCACACCACACGAAAACTTCTGTGACATGGTGAGAAACAATGTCAAAGCTCTTAACTTTCTTTGAATCTCTTAACAAAAAAAAAGCTTAATTTTGAGCCCTTTCTTGTTGTATTGCAGTGTCACTGCTATGTTTGTGACATTCGAGCTCCGTGTCCTTACTGGCGCATCTTATTCTCCAGCATGGATCACTGCCACGCCAATAGCAAAGAACAGATGTGGAAGAACCAACGTGAAAGCATCAGGAACGGAGAGACGCTTCCACGTCCTGCTTCATCGAAACCTCAACCGCAACAGCTCTCACAGTCTCAGTCTATGCGGTCTCCACAAAACCCGTGGTACTCCCCTGCAATCCGGCCTTGCTCGGTTAGCCCAAACACACACACCAGACCCGGTTTTAGCACCGAGCAGTCAAGAACCGCCCCGCAAAATCCCGGTTTACAGCCTCGTGGACCCGCCGGATCTTATAATGCTAACCGAAACCCCCAATTCGTCTCTTCCAATCCATTCGCAGCGACTCGTAGACCAAGCGGAGCCGTTTATCCTCCGGTGCCACGTGGAGGCGTTTATCCTCCGGTACCACGACGTAGAGGCAGAATATACAGGGCTTCACAAGGCAATCCACAGGGGATGGTTACTGATTATATCTCAACTGTGCCGGAATCTGCCACCAAAGTGTTCGCTAGACATTTCAACCGGAATATGTATTCTGGTAATGTTCAGGCGAGTGTAGTGCCGTCTGCGACTACTAATCCTCCGGCGAACCAGCAGCAACAATCAGGAAGGAGTAACAGTAAAGCACTATCGGAGTTTGAAGACTGGCTCATGAACGACAATACCCCGACCGGTCCGGTTTCTCCTTTGCCTGGTCAAGACAATGATGGTGCTACTTTCGCATTCGACTTCGAGAGCTTTCTGAAATGATTTGAGCGTTAGGATAGTCTTTTGATTTTAGATTTTAAAATGTACATCGTAGGATTAGCCAGGATCTTGATGGTTAGGACTAGGAGGTTTCATCTACAAAAACAATTTGATACTAATCTGAAGTCATATCTGATATCTCCGCTTTTTAGGAGGTTAAAAAGTTTTTCGTTCTTGTTACTAAAAAAGTATTGACGTTGTTCTGATTCGACGATGAAATTTGGTGCACGACTTTTGGTTCAAGATGATTTAGTTAAATCATTTTTTTTTAAGTATGCAATGACCTGCGAGAGAGAGAGAGAATGAAGAGCGACAAATTTTAATCACACATTGGTTATGTACTTATGACACTACATTGGTGTCAGTGTAATTTTTTTTGCAAAATATTGAGTATAATTAATATGGTCATTTACCACAGTAATCCTAAATAAAGTTTATTTATTCCACAGTAATACCAAATTTTTGTGTCATTTACTATAGTTGTCCTAAATAAAGTTTATTTATTCTACAGTTGTACTATCAGAATTTATTTATAGTAATGAGACTATGAGCTGTTGTTTTTCTCCTTCTTTCCCATCCAATTAAAAGGAAATAAATCAAGTTTTGTGGTCAAAGATTATTTTAGAAACGTAAGAGGTATATAGTCCACACAAATTGCATTTCTGGGAATTTTGGAAATAATCACTTTTGGAAATTGACGGTAATTAATTGTTTGGCACAGTGCACAGTTATGGGAAGAAAAGTCAAACGTAACAACAATACTGGAAAAATCCGTTACTGAATCTCAAAATTCGCACTTTTTTTTGTTTTTTAATGAAAAAGAATGAATCTGAAAGATTCAATTCTCCAATAAGATTCAACTTTCCCTCAACAGAATCTCGGGAATCTCTCTACCTTCCCCTTCTATAAACGCTAATATCTCTCTCGCTCTCTCTATCAATCTTCTTCATTTCGAAGTTTTCAAATCCTCTCTCTCTCCATCTCCATCACGCGATTGCAGCAATGTCGTCGTCTATCTCTTGCAACGCCACTGACCTGATTCCTTTACTATCAGGCGGAGGCAACGCCACCGCCGTAGAAGCCGCCGCCTCATTCATCTGCGGGAGATTCGACTTAATCTCCGGGAAATTCACCGACGCGGCTTACGCCATCGACAACACCTACCTCCTCTTCTCCGCTTACCTCGTCTTCGCTATGCAGCTCGGATTCGCCATGCTCTGCGCCGGATCCGTCCGCGCTAAAAACACCATGAACATAATGCTCACCAACGTCATCGACGCCGCCGCCGGAGGTCTCTTCTATTACCTCTTCGGCTTCGCCTTCGCCTACGGAGCTCCTTCCAATGGATTCATTGGAAAACATTTCTTCGGAATGAATGATTTCCCTGCTCCCACCTTCGACTATCCTTTCTTCCTCTATCAATGGACTTTCGCCATCGCCGCCGCCGGAATCACCAGCGGATCCATCGCCGAGAGGACTCAATTCGTCGCTTACCTAATCTATTCCTCCTTCCTCACGGGACTCGTTTACCCAATCGTATCCCATTGGTTCTGGTCCTCCGATGGTTGGGCTTCTCCAGCTAGATCTGAGAACCTTCTGTTCCAATCAGGTGTCATCGATTTCGCCGGATCCGGCGTCGTTCACATGGTTGGAGGCATCGCCGGACTCTGGGGAGCGTTAATCGAAGGGCCACGAATCGGTCGATTCGAACACAGAGGCAAACCGGCTCAATTGCGTGGTCACAGCGCAACGTTGGTCGTCCTCGGAACGTTTCTCCTCTGGTTCGGATGGTACGGATTCAACCCCGGTTCGTTCGCAACCATCTACAAATCTTACGGAGAAACTCCGGGAAGCTCCTTCTACGGCCAATGGAGCGCCGTCGGAAGAACCGCCGTTACAACCACATTAGCTGGTTGCTCGGCTGCGTTGACGACTCTGTTCGGGAAAAGACTCATCGATGGGTATTGGAACGTGACCGACGTCTGCAACGGTTTGCTCGGAGGGTTCGCGGCGATAACCAGCGGTTGCTCGGTTGTTGAGCCGTGGGCGGCGGTTATCTGCGGGTTTGTAGCTGCGTGGGTGCTGATGGGATTCAACAAACTAGCTGATAAGCTCAAATTCGACGATCCGTTAGAAGCGGCTCAGCTTCACGGTGGTTGCGGTGCATGGGGGATTATTTTCACCGGATTATTCGCTGATAAAACTTATGTTTCCGAGATCTACGGTGGCGAACCGGACAGACCGTTCGGGCTGTTCATGGGAGGAGGAGGTAGGTTGCTTGCGGCGCACGTCGTGCAGATTGTGGTGATTTCTGCTTGGGTTAGTGTGACGATGGGGACTCTGTTTTTCGGTCTGCATAAGATGAATCTGTTGAGGATACCGTCGGAGGATGAGGTCGCCGGGATGGATCCGACGAGTCATGGTGGGTTGGCTTACATGTACACAGAAGATGAGATCAAGAATGGGATTATGGTTAGGAACAACGATGGTGAAAGTGATATAGGACGTGGCGTTTGATTTCTTTATCTATATTGTTAGCTTTTGCGTTTTTCATCTTATTTTGTTTTTAATGTTTCATTTTAGTATTGTGTATATAGTATGTTTGTGTTGCTCTTTTGCATGGGAACAATAATTAAACATATTAGTTTGGCTGCTTATTAGTTCTAGTTTTAATTATTCGCGCCGATATATTAGGCCAAGCTCTCAGATATTTGGAAATTTATGCAAAATTAAAAAATTCTTTAAACATCTTTATATGGAAACAAATCTGAATTAGGTGGAAGGATATTGTTCTAAATTATTCCGATTTGTTTTCCTTTTTAATATATCTCTGAATCTCTAAATGTTTTAACATTCGCCTAAACTAATGGGCCCTAACAAAAACTTTGAGGCCCAGGTAGTTGCAGCGAGGACCGGTTCCAGCTAAGCACATTTAAATGATATTAATCAAACGAATTAAACAGGGTGTTGTAAGAAAATTATTACAAGAACATTATGAGAAACCGGACACGTCCGAGCAAGAGACAAAGGAGTACAAAGTACATGATTCAAGATTCATCATCCCATGCAAAAAAAGACACGATCAAAAAGCAAAGTTGGAAACAAACACTCACTCACACGGGAATTTGGAAACAGATATACAAACGGCCAAAATATTAACAATAACAAATAAAATATGGACAGAGCGTAAAGATAAAATTGTTATATATTGCCACCTCCAGTAAATTTATATAGCTCTTAAAACATAACTAACAATATTGAAAACTGCTAAATCTTGTTTAATTACTTATTAAAATTCAAACCAGTCTCATATCTACATCTTCAGTGCTGTTAGAAATCTTACATTCAACTATTAAAAAACTTGGGGTTCTACACAATACAGTAATACACATATCAATTGTGGGGCTGTGGCTGATTGCAAATATATGCCAAGTGACTACAAAATGACTTTGAGTATTAATGTCGGTATCTTCGAGAACCATTGATTCCCTTATCTAGTCAGATACTGTCTATCCAGGACCACTCAGACTTCGCCACGTGACGGTCAAATCCTTTGACCAGTCGAACCAAAAATACACATGCATTTCGCTTAAAATATGTGAAAAAGTTAAAGTCATTACCATATCTGTAAATGCTCTCTTTTGTTGACAACAACAAAAAATCGTTTTTATTTCGTGTTATTATCAGTCAACTTAACAAATTATTTGATACTGTATGTTAAGATTATCGTACTGAAGTAAATATAGTAACATAATCAAAGGATGATAAATCAGTAGATCAAAATTTTTTATCATCTCTTTCATTTGTCAGTTTGATTTATGAATGTAACAACAAATAAAACTTTAAATCCTTCGGTCATTAAGAAAAATTTAGCATTGTCATCATCATTATTTATTGGGGTAATCTGGTTTTTCTTTCCTTATAGTCAATTCAATTGAGATATTCTTTTTCCTTCTGCATCCGTCGCTTGACTGAATAAAAACGTGAAAAGAAAGCTTTCACCTAAGACTCTCATACTTATCTCCTCTGTTTCTCTCCCCTCTCTATAGTCAAATACATAGGTTTCTTGTTTCTCTCGCCTCTCTAATCTCTATTTTGACAAAAGGTAGAAAATAGTAAATGGCAGATAAATATCCAAGAATCATCGTCGAGAAAAACCCATCTCAGGCTCGTCTTGACGAACTAAATTTCAAATCATGGCCCAAGTAAGATCGATTATTCCTTGTTTGTTAATATTACTTCTTCGTTTGCTTGGTGGTGTGAAATCGATTTGGTAAAGTTGCAGGAAATCAAATTAGAAAAATTTGTAACTTATACTGAATCAAATTGGACTTTTTGTTTTTTGGGGATGAAAGGTGGGGATGTTCACCAGGGAAGTACCATCTCAAATACGAAGCAGAAGAGATATGTTACATTGTTAAGGGTAGAGTTAAGGTTTACCCAAAATCATCATCCTCCTCCTCCTCATCCTCATCATCATCACCATCACTGGATGCAGAAGTAGAGTGGTGTGTAGAGTTTGGGGCAGGTGATATTGTCACTTTACCAAAGGGACTTTCTTGTACTTGGGATGTATCTTTGTCTGTTGACAAACATTACATGTTCCTCCACCATTCTTCTTAGTTTCTCATTTCCTTTTTCTATTCTTTATTTTTTTTTATGTATTCCTATCATTTTGGTTCGTACTAATTGTTGTATTTTGTGTTTTTTTTTGCTTTTTCTTCTTCTAAAAAATCAAATATAGATTTGTGTGCTGTAACAAACATGATCAAACAATGATTTCACAATTCAAGCTTGAGAGTAAACCTATAGTATGAGATTTTAAGTTATTGAGATATTTGGAACAATGCCTCAATGTTGTTCCTCTGGTACACTAACGCCTCCAAAACCGAATTTTCAGCCAGTTATCGGTTCAATCAATCGAACCGGCCGGTCGATCTGAATTTTAAAACACCTGACACAGAAATGGCTCACTCTTTCTCAGTTGTGTAGAGACAAAGAAAAAGGCGAAGAAATGCTCTGCTTCACTCATGTCCCACATCTTCCTCTCTTCTCCTCTTCCAGCATCTATCTTCATAGCTCCCGCCAATTCACGAGGTCGCTTTCTCAGTTTCCCGAAGCATCGATTATAGTCTCCGTTAACTTCTGCTCTTACCGAGTGGTCTCATAGATTCTCCTCTCTTCCTCTATGATTCAGTTTCAGGACTAGAATGTCTTCTTCTTCTGCTTCCTCCGCCATCGATTCAGCTCTTCCTCCTTCGCCGGATAGTGGCATCGTTGTGAGTTATTGAGCCATTTCTGTAAATGACTCTCGCGATTGGGTTTCGACTTTGAATCATCGCGCTTATTAGGAAATTGCCGTCTTCGTGTTGATTTTTCGCAGCTTGGTTGTGGTGGCGTCGCTGTCGATTTCCTGGCGACGGTTGATTCCTATCCTAAACCCGATGACAAGATCCGAAGCACTAGCCTCAAGGTTAGTCTTCTCTTCCCGCTTCCACCCACAGTCGGTTTAAGTAGTGATTTAGGATTTGGGATTGAGGAACGTATTTGCAATTTTCAGGTGCAAGGAGGAGGAAATGCTGGAAACGCGTTAACCTGCGCAGCTCGTCTGGGGTTGAATGCGAGGCTGATTAGTAAGGTATGGATCGTTAATCTGTGAAGTACAGATTCAACAATTGAGTAGTAGATTAGTGATGCTAATTGGTTAGTAATGTAAAAAATATATTTAGGTAGCGAATGATTCACAAGGAAAAGGTATATTGGAGGAGCTGGAATCTGATGGTGTGGATACTTCTTTTCTTGTGGTAAATACTTCATCTTTTTGATCATCCATAGTGTAGACTCTACAGTGTTACGAATCATAGATGTTTCTCTTTTGATCTGATCTCGTGCTAGGTCTCTAAAGAGGGAAATACACCATTTACATACATCATAGTTGATAAACAGACGTGAGCGTTTTTTATTATCTCATGTTGTTTGTGAATTTTTGGGGTATTTTTCATATAGTAAAGAGTTTGATTGAAGTGCTGTGTGAATTTATTTTGTGTCAAAACGAATCAGGAAAACGCGTACTTGTATTCATACGCCTGGAGATCCACCCATGGTACCAACTGACCTTTCTGAATCTAGCATGTTATCTGCTCTAGACAGAGCAAGCATCGCGTACTTTGATGTGAGATTACACGAAACCGCCTTGGTGATTGCAAACGAGGTAAGCCTGCATCTCTTTTACCTTTCTTATGTGTTGTTTAGCCAAAGCTGTGCTTGAACACGATTCTCTCTCTTTTTTCTTCTACAAATATATAATATGGCACACAACCTACATGTTCATTTCCTCTTGTGCTTGTTGCGTTTATCCAGAGCAGGCAAGTCGGAAGAAGATACCTATTCTAGTTGATGCGGAGAAGAAAAGAGACGGGTTAGATGATCTCTTGCAACTCGCCGATTACGTTGTTTGCACAGCTAAATTCCCTCAGGTAAATTAGTCTCCGTTTCTCTTCTTTGTTTTTCCGATATCTTTTGAGGCCGAAAGTTCTCAGCTTCTCACGTCTCGCAGGCATGGACAGAAGTATCTTCAACTCCAGCTGCGCTTGTTTCCATGTTGTTGAGATTGCCGAAACTGAAATTTGTGATCGTGACCTTAGGTGAAGAAGGATGCTTAATGATTCAGAGAGCTTCACAAGGTAATAAACCAGTAACTTCATGTCACTCACTTGAAATCAAAACTTTTTTCATGATCCTTTAGCTGTGTTCCCAACATCCTCTGTCTCTGTCCACTTCAACAGAAGCATCAGATTCGGAAGAGACAGACATCGAGAGTTTGTTAGAGACACTTAAGCATAGAGAAGATTCAACCGCAACATCTCCAACATGCGTTTCATCGGTAACCAAACGTTCCGACTCCTAAGTAACTTCTCACTCTTAATGAAGGAACTCCAACTTTGCCGCATATATTTTCTTGCAGGAGACAACAAAGCTGAAGGCAGACGGGATAGGAACACTGAGTGGAAGATTGTTTCTCGGAACAGCGGAGAAAATTCCTCCACAAGAGCTTGTTGACACCACCGGTGCAGGGGATGCATTCATAGGAGCGGTTCTTTATGGTAAAAGTCTTGCAAAGATGCTTATACTCTCTGAGAAATCAGAACCCAACACCCAAATTCTGAAATATTTACTGACTTATCTTCGACCTGTAGCTATATGCGCCGGCATGCCCCCGGAGAAAATGTTACCGCTCGCTGCTCAAGTGGTAACTCTCCTAAACCCAAAACATGTTCTTCAGAACCTCTCTATCGTGTTTTCACCAATGCACATAAATCTTCAACTATAAACACATCTTTTGCCGTATATGATCATGTGAAATCTAAGACTTATGTTTGGATAACAATCGATAACCGAGCCACCACGTGAAATCCATGTTTAACCATGTTTTTTTTGTATTGCAGGCTGCTTGCAAGTGCCGAGCTTTGGGAGCTCGCACCGGTCTTCCTCAACGTACTGATCCGCGACTTGTACCCTTTCTGGTCTGACAATCACAACTCTATTTTTTTTCAATGTTCCTTTGTGACTTTGTCCACTCCATCGCCCACTTTCATATATTTAAAACTTCCTGCGTATAAAATAAATAATTAGCCGGTGACAAATAATATCCATGTTAGGTTTGACTTTCTTATAATAAAATACGTATAATGAAGAAGTGGTGTTATTATTCTAAACTAATAAACGCTAGGCAATATATGAACGCTTCCACCTTGTTGATCTCGTCCGTAAAGGCGTTCATCATCAACGGCTAGGTTTGGACTTTGGAACGAAAGCTACATCCAAAGGTAATCTCAGCCACCGACTGCTCCAAGTCAAATATGAATGGCCACACGCCCACACCCACGCGCTATTATCTACGGGCGTCTTCTTCACTTTACTCTCTCCACTTGTCGATGTTAACACCATAAAAGACAAAATCAAAATCTATAATCTGTCGATTTCACGCGCCTTTTTTTCTCATTGGCTAATAAAACCGTGGAGCCCATTGCCGAGTCTTTAACGAGCTTAATGACGGCGAGATGATCGGCCTTAACACTCCAAAAGTAAACGGACGAGAGCTGACCAAGACCGTTCTGTTCACCTACAGTCAATACTATATTTTACAAGTCTTGGAACCTGCAAGTCCTTTTGAGTAATTTGTTACCAATATCATCCCCTAACTATTTAACCGCGAATAGTAAAAACAAACATTTATTCCTCAAATTTCCTCCTTGGCATGTTGACAAGTGACAAGACTTACCAAGTGCCAAGTACGACTTACCAATTGGCAAAAATTTTACTGTGTTTGGCTTTTAGTCAAAAATATCAAAGATTAGTAATTACATTGCCTCTTAAGTTGACATATTTTTCTAGAGCCAGAGAAAGTCTGGGGACCAATAATATATTAGATTGAAGTCATTAATAAGGGTACCTTAGGAATTGAATGGTAAATTAACGCTTACTTACCTTAATTACAGAGTAAAAGCTGCGACGAGTCATCACTATTGCTCAGAGAAATCGGAAAAGAAAGACAGAAGAAAATCCAATAAATATATATAGAGGGGAAAAAACGAAATCGTCTCTACAGAGAAAAAAATAGACCAAAAGAGGGACTTAGGATTTCTTCTCGAGCAGATTTGAATATTTTAATTTTTGTTTGCTTGAAGAATTCCAAGTTTCGCATACTTCCATCGAATTCAATCGCATTTCTGGGAGTTTTTTTGTTTCTTCGAATTATTTCCGAGTTGCAGAGTTCGTCAGCTCCTTGCGTAAGTTACATACAGACATTTACCGTCGTATGAGTTTTTGAACGATCATCGGAGGAGTCTCATGCGTTTAGATCCAAAAGCAAGCAGAAATAGTTTCTGATCTGCTGAATCTCCGTTGGAAATGGTATTCTATTTAATGTTTTTTTCTGTCTTCTTCTGGGTTTATTTTCCGTTCACATTTCAGAGGGGGGTTTAATATATTCTCAGTGTTTTAATTCTTTTGCGATTGTGTTCTTCGTCTGGTTTGAAATGATCTCTTTGTTTTCATGACTAAGCTATTGCTGACTGATCCGTGGTTGGACGACAATATGATCTGTTTCTTTGAATTGGATAATTTGAACGACCAAACTTGTTTTCATGCACAGCTTTGATCCTTAGGGGATGTGAACATTTAGCTCAATTCCGAAAATTTTGGATGATAAGACGACTTTTGATTGATTCATGATTGACTAGAATTTTGATGTCTCGGGACTGGTTCACCATTTGAATAATGATCCTCTGGGGATCATTTAAATCTTTGAACTTGGTGTGAAGATAAGAGTTATCTGAATTGTTGGTATTGCAGGCTTGTACTACGGTCAATGTTGGCTCTTTCGTGTGGGTGGAAGATCCAGAGGTGGCATGGATAGACGGTGAAGTCGTCGAGGTTAAAGGAAATGATATTAAAGTCCGATGTACCTCAGGGAAGACGGTATGTGTAACCACTTTATATCAGTATATACGCATCATCTTCTGCATATTTATACGGGATTAAGTTGCTACATTACTGAAATTTTCAGGTGGCTCTTAAAGTTTCAAATGCATACCCAAAAGATGTTGAAGCTCCAGCTTCTGGAGTGGATGATATGACAAGGCTAGCATATTTACATGAGCCAGGAGTCCTCCAAAATATGAAATCAAGATTTGATATCAACGAAATATATGTGAGTAACGAGTTTTACTAATATATTCAAGTCTCCTCTGCTTCTTGAAAGTCAATATTTCCTTTCACTTTGCTAGGCATTTTGTGCTAATATGTATATATTCTTCCAGACTTACACAGGGAATATTTTGATTGCTGTAAACCCTTTTAGAAGACTACCGCATCTTTACAACAACCATATGATGCAACAATATAAAGGTGCTGGCTTTGGAGAACTGAGCCCTCACCCGTTTGCAGTTGCGGATGCTGCTTACAGGTGCCTTTGGAGTCTTTTCTTTTTTCTTCTTTTGTTACTGGTTGTTTCCCGTTTGACGTCCTGGCTTGTTTTCCATTGGCGGTAGGCAAATGAAAAATCAGGGCATTAGTCAATCAATCTTGGTAAGTGGTGAAAGTGGAGCAGGGAAGACTGAGACTACTAAATTGCTCATGCAGTATCTGGCAGACATGGGAGGTCGAGCTGTTACCGAAGGAAGATCAGTTGAAAAGAAAGTTTTGGAGGTTATATTTGGCATATCTTTATTGTAGACTTTTTGGATTGTGAAAGCCAGGTTTGTCGGAGTCGATTCGGAAATCCTTCTGAGATATGTTTATGTTTTTTTTGTGTATGCAGTCCAACCCTGTTCTAGAAGCATTTGGAAATGCAAAGACTGTTAGGAACAACAATTCAAGGTGTTTATAGTATAAAAATATCTATACTTATGCATGTGTGTCTGCCTACACGCTTTTTTCGTTCTTCTCGTGTTAAATATCCTTTTACCTGTTAATTCACGTTCATGATCATTGTAATGTTGCAGTCGATTTGGTAAATTTGTGGAGATTCAGTTCGATCAAAGGGGAAGGATATCAGGAGCTGCTATCAGGACTTATTTGTTAGAGAGATCGCGGGTTTGCCAGGTCTCAGATCCTGAGAGGAACTATCACTGTTTTTACATGCTCTGTGCTGCACCACCTGAGGTACATAGGGCTTATCTTTCCTTTTAAAGTGATTCTCAGTGTTCTGGTATTTGAAATAGGCAATATCTATATAGCACATATGGCTTCTCTCTCCTTTGGTCTTTACTCCCAACTATGTTAATATTCAATAGTAAATAGGTTCTTATAATCTCAGTTGCTTAGTTCACGTTTTCTAAAGTCAGGTGGAAGCATCATTAAAACTTTGTAGTTTTTTTATGCCCTGATGTTTTCTCTTATTTAATCAGGACATAAAAAAATGGAAATTGGCGGATCCAAGAACATTTCATTACTTGAATCAGTCTCGGTGCATTGAGTTGGAGAGAATGGATGATTCAAAGGAATACCATGAAACTAGAAAGGCAATGGATGTTGTTGGGATAAATCTAGAGGAGCAGGTAGGTTTTTTTCTTTTGCTATTCCCTTGGTAAAAATTATGGTATCCACATATGAGTGTCTTCTGATATAAACTTTATCTCAGGAATCAATATTTCGAGTTGTGGCTGCTATTCTTCATCTAGGTAACGTTGAATTTGGAAAAGGAAAAGAATCAGACTCGTCAGCCCCGAAAGATGAGAAGTCCTACTACCATCTGAAGACTGCGGCTGAGCTTTTCATGTGAGTAACTAATTGATTATCTATGACTTTGAAATGTGAAAAGCGCCCTTCCCTGAAACTGGTTCATTTAATATGGAATAAAGACTGACTCCTTAGATTTCTCTAGGTGCGATGAGCAGGCACTGGAAGATTCTCTTTGTAAACGTGTAATTGTGACACGTGATGAAAACATTATAAAATGTCTGGATCCAGAATCTGCGGCACTCAGCAGAGATGCATTGGCAAAAACTGTGTACTCAAGATTGTTTGATTGGTATGTCTAACCTTATTACATTTGTAATTTCGTGGATGGATGCTGCCCTTTCTTTGCAGATTTGCGAACCTAGTTAAACTTTCTTAACTTGCTTTATTGCTCTTTCAGGATTGTGAACAAGATCAATACTTCAATTGGACAAGATCCTGATTCAGTACATTTGATTGGAGTGCTGGATATATATGGATTTGAGAGTTTCAAGACAAACAGGTGCTTAAGCGGTATGCCTTTTGTTTAATAAGGGAAAGGAACTTAGCTTAGCCTGATATATAAATAATTCCCAACATATTCACATGATAGTTCTGTTGTTTAGTTTGTTGGTTCTCTATGGTTTCTAGTTTTAGTAAGCAGTGGAAAGGGTGGTAAATGTTGCTATATCTCAACTAGAAGTTTTTGGTTATCAAGTAAAAAGGACAAACCGAGCTTTAGAAATACCTAACGAGGGACCTTTCCAACTTTTGGAGACCTGATCTTCTCTCCTTTCTCACATATATATTTTGAAATGGAAGGGAAGTGAAAAATATCAAACAGACTTTGCTTGTGTTATTTTTTAAAAAATGCTTTGTATTGCATGCGCTTTGCAGTTTTGAGCAATTTTGCATCAATTTGACGAATGAGAAACTTCAGCAGCATTTTAATCAGGTTTGTTCATCTTCAGATTGCTGCCATTCTTCACTCTGATCTGTCCCTAATAGTGATCCGCAATTTTACCTGGCAGCACGTCTTCAAAATGGAACAAGATGAATACAATAAAGAAGAAATTGACTGGAGCTACATTGAGTTCGTAGATAATCAAGATATTTTAGACCTTATTGAAAAGGTCGCTAGTTTCACCACATTTTATGTGCTACCTCTTACGGAGTAATATTTATTACACACTACTCATCATTGGTTTGTCATGTCTCAGAGTCCTGGTGGTATCATTTCTCTCCTGAATGAGGCTTGGTATGTCTAAGTACTTTGAATTAGTATTTTTCAGCATGTGTTGTCTCTTTC